GCTAAAGGATGCTAAAGGGCTCTATAGAATAAGGACCCATGACCCACAATGATGGCTACCACATGCTACCACTGCTTTCAAATTCTATTAGGCATCATAAGGCTACATGCTACATTTTCTACGCATCTCTATTCTTTCTTCTGGGAAACAACAAGTCCCAAGCTCCTAAGACCACATAAGGAAGTAAGAGAACCACAAAGAACCACTGTCTCACATAGACCCACTATAGAATTAAGAACTGTATTGGCCTGCACTTAGTCAACCTCAAAATCAAATTCTATAAGGACCCCCTTCTGATAGGCCTTGGAAATCCCCAGGGGCTCTTGGGGAAACCAAAAAAGACACCAGAAACATCCAGAAACACCCGGCAGCCAGTCCGGCAGCCCTCTCCTGCATCAGATGATTCCGGCGTCGTGTGAGGCTTGTTCTGCTCAGCCTTGACTTTCTCAAGCTTGAGTTGTGTCTGCTGACAGGCCTGGGCTAACGCGTCTAGCTCCCTCTCAATTTTCTGCGCATCTGACCCTGTGGCCACAACGATCTGAGTAGAGGTTGGCTCTGGGTCAAGAGCAGCTTTCTTCTCGCTTTTCACCCCGGCGGGGACTGATGGTACTGTCTTCTCGGAGGTTGCGGGCAAGCTCTGCAAAGGCAAAGTCAAAGGGAGATCGTGCGGAAGGCATTGTGGATGTTCTTCTGAATTCGGTTGTGAAATGGAATTGGACGTTGACTGGAGTTTGTCCTCGTGGCCTACTTCTCCACGGTCAGGTAAGCACAAAGTTGTATCAGCTGCGCTAGCCTGGACGTGCACAAGGAAAATTCAGGAAATGGGTGTTGTTGCCAGGACACGGCTTGTACATGCTTGTACAATCTTGTACATGATTGTGCGATATTGCGCACATGTCATGTACATCCCGGATCATCCCGGAGATCTCAGAAAAAACAAACAAACATAAGACAAACATAAACAAACCATGACAAAACGACATGAAACGGCAAGCTAGCCTGGCCTCATCCCCATGTGGCAGCGCCGCTGCAGGCTCTTGCCCTTGATCAGAATCAACCTACAAACCACAGGATGGCCACATGTGGATACATGTGGTCTGATTCATTCTGGCTCAATACATACCCTAGCGATCCCTAGCTATTCCTAGCTCCTTGTCTGCCCGACTCTACCCGATGATGCCCGCATAAACTCGCAAACGTCCGCGGAAAAGTCGCAAGTCGGCCTTCTGGCTTTCAGATGACTCCGCTCGCGGAGGTGCCTGGTGACGCTCCGCACGCATCCGCACACTGTATGCGAAAAATTCCGGCGCCACAGAACGCTTACAAAAATATCCGCGTGAAACCTACTTCGATCGCCGTGATCGCCAACATATACGAAAACGATCGGAAACGGCCTCTGCGTCCAGCTTGTTTGTGGACTCTGTCTTTCCAGGTACGGATGGAGGGGCAGCCTGAACATGAAGGATATTCAAGGTCGCCAAATCTCGGCCATTATTGAAATCATGAAATGCTTCAAAAATCTTACTGTAGGATACTGTAGGTTTAAAGAAATGGTGGAAGATCCTGGACATTCCTGGAGGATCATGTGAGGACTGTCTAAAATCGGCTAAACACGTAAAACCTACTTTGATCGCCAACAAATGCCAACAATGGAAACGGCCTCCGCGTCCGGCTTCTTTTCCGTCTTTGTCTTCACAGGTACGGGTGGAGGGGCAGCCTGAACATAGAAGCTTCCTTCGAATGATATTCAAGGTCTCAAACCACTGCACCGTGGATCACCTTGGTATATCTTAGCATATCTTAGCTATGATTGAAATATATTGAAATGTTGAAGCGCAGCAAGCTTAAAAGGCTTTAAAGAAATTGAAAAATCCTGGAGGATCATGGGAGGACTGTCATGGATTGTCATGGACTGTCTATGACTGTCTAAAATGTTCCAAAAACACGTGAAACCTACGGAAACGGCCTCCGCGTCCGGCTTCTTTTCCGTCTTTGTCTTCACAGGTACGGGTGGAGCCTGAACATAGAAGGATATTCAAGGTCTCAAACCACTGCACCTTGGATCGCCTTGGCATATCTTAGCCATGATTGAATTGTTGAAGCGCAGCAGCAAGCTTAAAAGGTTTTAAATAGGAATTGGATGGAATTGGAAAATCCTGGAGGATCATGCGAGGACATGGGAGGACTGTCATGGATTTTCGTGGACTGTCTATTATGTTCTAAACACGTGAAACCTACGGAAACGGCCTCCGCATCCTGCTTCTGAGCGGTGTTTGTCTTCGGAGGTGTGGATGGAGGGGCAGCCTGAACATTCGAGGTCTCAAATCACTGCATGTCGGCAAATCTCCGTCGTGATATATAAATGTTGAACTGCCTCAAAAAATTCTACAAGACTTATATGCTTTCCACCTGGCAGAACCCTTTTGAAACCTACTGCACTCACCCTGAATCCCAACTGCAGAATAAAGCTTTGTCGTGGGATTTGTCCGCGTCTTAATTACGCCAGAGGTAGCCGGAGTATGCCAGAGTTGTTTGATAGAATCAAAAACTAATGTCACATCTGCCTTTGGCTTCTGCTGCTGCTCAGACTTGACCTTCTTAGGCTTCTGGTTCAGGACGGAAGTTGGCAGCGTTGAAACAGTTTTGTCTGCCTGGGCAAAATCTGTGCTATGCATCACCGGCCACTATAAAATAAAAAAGTTTACCACGTTTGAATTCTATAGTATATCAATCTTTGCTTGAAGGATCTTGAAGGTGCATCTAAGACACCAAGATCAATAAAAACAACATAAAAATACGCAAAACATCAAGAAAAACAACTATAAAATAAAGAAACTTGATCCTTCTGACCAACACCATCCACTTTAAATTCTATAGCGTGACAATCTGTGCTTTGAAGTCGCACGCGATTGCTGAGTCCCCAGGCCCAGCCACCTTCTTTTGCTTCCAAAACCAAAACGTCGAAGTCTACCTGCGTGAGCGGTCATGAACCAATATCTAAGCAGCATTAGCAGCACACGAAGAAAAACAACTCTGACCCCGCGGCCCCCAGAAGCCTCTTCCATATGATGCTCATTGATGAACTTGTTTGCTTCAGTCTTGCTCCGAAAAGTCTTGCTCCATTCATGCTCACCCGCGACGAGCATGAAGCTAACTCAGTGTCACACACGCAACATCACGCCCACAACGCAACCATAAAAGGAAAAACATGTTTTTGAGTATTCCGGACAGAACAGTATCTCAGGACAGAACAGTATCTCCGGATGTTCGTGCCATCAGCAGAAGGGAGTTCGTGCCGTCTGACCGACCAAGTAGCCATCGTGAGATGCACAATTGGAAGCTTCTATATGTTTATATAAAAATAATTAACTTTATAATACTTTATATTTGCCTGCCATCACTACTGCGCCATCGCGGGGGGCAAAGGCCCCTGCAATCATGGTACTATCGCAGATATGATTCATTATGATTCCATAATATTCCATTTATAATCATATATATTTAAATCTATATATATATATATAACTATTTTTATATAACTCCTGAATCTTCATCTCAGCTCCCAATGACATCTGAGCCAACGAAGGGTCAAGCGGTAAAGGCTGAGAAGAATGAACAGCACCCCTACCTACCCCTACACTGTCTACAGGTATCAACAGTGATGAGACCTGACCTTCACAATCAGGTTTTCTGTAAGCAGCCCCTCTGTCAGTGTCACTACCCCTAACTATCCCTAACTAAGATTTTTGACGCAATCTTTCGATTGTTACTGTGGAAGTCAAAACACAAAGAACACCAACGAATCGCAAAGACATGTGGTGCTGGCCACAGGTCACTTGAAGCAGCTAGCAAAACCTCTCAAAGGATCTCAAAGGCATGATTGCCAAGTCTTGGATGGCCAATCGGAGTAAGGGATTTTCAGGCAACCTCTTCGCCGTTGCCATCTGGCCCCTCTGGCTGTACATTCTCCGTGCTATACTGGGCCAACCAAGACGATAAAATTGCCTTGCAAAAAGCAGCTGTGTAATGAGCGGATGTTGCCAAATGGGGGCCTCCACTCCATCCCTGTGATCCATCCAGCTTCAAGCACTTCGTGTGATAGATCTTGGGAACCTTTCTCTTGGCGTTCCTCGCTTGAAGTCTCTCCTTGGTTAGGTATGGTCAGGCGTGGTTAGGCAGTGTACATCTGAAAACAACAACACCAGTTAGCACAGACAAACGCGTCTCGGACTTTCTCGGATATTCTCAGATCGTCTCGCTGCTATCCACGCGTCGGCAAACTTGATTCTGCACTTTTTGGTCATGACGCGTTTGATCTTGTCCATGGTCCTCCACCAAAAGAAGCGCAAAACAGAAATTACATGAAATTACAGTAAATTACAGTATAGAGATGTATAGAGAGTTATAGAGACATATACATACTGCATACATCTGCATACTGCAATGATACTGCGAATCCCGCATGGACATGGTTGGGCAAAACATCTCCTCACATTTGATAGGATGTGTGTCGGCTTGTGCAGGTCGTGCCCGAAGAACGCTTGCCATGTATTGGTAATCTTCCTTGGCTGGTCAAACAAAGTCAAAACATGTCAAAAGTCTGTACGTCAAAACCAAACAGCGTAGAAGGATGTAGAAGGTAAAATCACAAAACAAATATATAGAATAAATAAAATACTAAAATTATATGAAAGTTTACCGACAAATGCGCAGGAATCATTTGCGAAGCCCTGGTCAGTTCAAGCATGAAGGGAAGCTTGAACCCCCAGGATTGAGCCGGCTGTTCCAACGCAAAGTAGATACCGCGCTTCATCTCCACCACCACTTTGATACATTGCTCCTTCGGCAGACGTGAAAAAAGGATAATAAATATAAAAAGGTTTATTCAAAATGTTAAATCTATTTAATCTATTTCAATATGGCATAGCGGCATATCATGAACCCGAAATCAAAATTAAAAATACTTTTGCTAGTTACAGTAAGTGTCCAGGTTTTTCCAGATCCGGTTGGCTAGACGAACGGCAAATACACTCTCATCCCCATAGAGCCCTCCGCAATGCCGTTTGTGCAAAGATGCCGAAGCTCCGACAAACAAGGAACATGGTGGAGCGCAAAAAGCCAATCCACCTGGCAAAAGCCTGCAAGTTGACCAACACCGCCGAAGCAAAGAAGGAATACTAAAAGGACAATCGGATACGCCAGCACATCTAGTGATATCTAGTGAATATCCGTATATATCCATATGATATCGTATGATTCCATATGGATTATGGATCTCCGAAAATCTCTGAAGATCCGTGGCCAAACATCAACCAAGAGACGCCAGCATCAATCCCAACAGGATTAGGAATCCTCGTCTGGTCACAAGGTCCTCGTCCGGCGAAGACTTTATGTCATAGGCTTTGGCAACAAAGCCCGCGCGCCTCCATTGTTTCCTCATTGGCCCGCAATGCAAATATGAAACATTTCGAAACATTACGTTGGAAAAACTGAAGAATGAAAAATGCAGCCAGTAAAGTGCAAGCTTCGCGAGCCCCTGCGATATGCTGAATATATCCGCAAGGTGCAGGTAGCGCTCGCCCGACCACTCGCTGGCCCACTGCCGAATCTCTGCAGTATGTAGTTCCGCCATGAACCACCTGGGAACAATGACAAGGCCATAGATGGCCATAGCGTATACCATATGATTTGCATTGAATCACTATAGAATTAAGAAACTAATCGAGTTGTGAGATGCAGCCCTTATAGAATCAAGAACTGACACAGGGATGTGCAAGATCAAAATTGTTGCTTTGCTTGTAGCCAGTCAGTCCCTCAACAGGGTTTTTTCAAGGTTTATTGAATATAAAACAATAGTACATGGATATATATGGATATAGATGGCAGAAGAACATGCAGGATTTTGTAGAATCAGAGAGGAATATTGTATAGCATTGTATGATATTGTATGTAACTGTTGGTTTTTAAATTCTATAGTGATTGTGCCTGCATGTGCCTGCACTGTTATTAAATTCTATAGTGATTGTACCTGCACACCTGCGCATTTTTAAATTCTATAGTATTCCATAGTAAAGTATAGTAAAGTAAAGTAAAGTATTGACTTAAAAAATGTTGAATTGAAACATAGCAAATACAGGTATAAAGAACACATAAGAAAACAATTTAGTTTGATTGAAATAGAATCATAATGAACCAATATGATCCAATATGAATCATATATAATCATACAATATCATACATATCATACAAGTGTTCACGAATTATTCACGAATTCCAAGGAACTCGCTCTCGCCCACTGAGCACGTAGTGTCTGCAGCAATATCCGGCAGGGTACTGAGGGATGGCTTCCACAGCCAGGCACAGCACAAAAGCGCAAGCATTGCAGTGAGCCGCATTGGTCTGGTCAAGCTGGCTAGCAAAGCAAACAAAAGGTCAACCCGATTGAGCCCAAATCTGCTATCCCACGGTATCCCCGAGTGTGGACGCAGGCAGTCTGATTTGATACCAATAAATGTGGCTCGCAATGGCTCGCATCCAGATAGAAAATACATGAAAAAGTTAAACGCTTGCCCCCGAACAAAGCCAGGCCAACCAAGTCAACCTAGTCTCAAGACATCTCAAACCGTGAGAACCCGTGACACGCCATCATGATCAAACGCCTGGCTCTCGCGCGCACCTCGCTGATTTGGGAATTTGATACCACAGGAATCCACAGGATCACAAAACAAGACTGCCAACAACTCCTGAATGTTTCTGGGGGTTCCAAATCTATCCACACAATTCCACATACACATCACTGATCATCACCGCGATCCACCATCCCAAGATATCTCAGAAACATCCAGATCATATCCAATCAGTTTTCACCTGATTTCACACAGTCTGCGCATGTCTGCGCGTTTTCAAAAAATGAAACCGCATGAAACCGCAGAACGCATCTGGATGATTCTGGATGTCCAGCGCGCATCTAGCCCACTGATGCCCACTGTTTTTTTCACGAAATCCTTCGAAGTAGTCTGCAGATGTCTGCATTATAGACCGGCTCAAGAAACATCCAACATATCCTATCGCTACCAGTTCACACGGCATCGAACTTCATGGGGTTCTTTCGAATTATTCCATCATTGGTTTCTCAACTGCCTTTCTTGTACAGCTTTGCTAAGCAGTTCTTGCAAACCTCATACTGTTTGACTTCTCTTCCACGCACACAGTTTTGGAACAAGTGAGCTTTGTGTTTGTCTGAAAGCATGAACACGGAATCAACAAAGAAGTCATTCCTGGATACGTGGCTGCACTCACGAATCACCTTGTCACTTTCAAAAGCCGTTTTCGTTTCTCCTGTCCGCTTCCAAGGCATCTTCAGCAATGTCCAAATATCCAAGGGGACACGGATGAGGAAGTAGATAGAAGCTGCCCAGAAGAGAATGTCGAAGCCATCCATCATCCCACCAGACATCAAGAGGCCGGATTTATCCGGAAATATCTGGAGAACTTACACACAAAGGATCTTTCCACTCTTGAATCTTGAGCCTTTTATTTCGGATCAAAAACAGTGGATTGCACTGGCCACTCCAATGATTTCCAACTTCATTCCGTTCTTCGTTTGTAAATACTAAGTACATCATAGTACATCTAAATACATTTGTTTTTTGCTGGTGGTCTTTCCCACAACTTCTTTTCCGGAAAAGAACACGGTGCCATTCCGTAAGCCTCTATAGAATTAGAAACACACATTCTGCTCTTATAGAATCAGGATACCAGGCTTTCATTTTTTTAATCTCCAAAAAATCATGAATCTCTATAGAATATCAATTTCAATCATCAACGCAAGACCATCCACTACAAAATAAAGAAAAAACAAAGCCATTCCTTTTGTATTCTATAGTGGGGCCGAATTCTGTAGAGCAAAAAAACTCATTTCTCTATAGAATCTTGGGGTGCCTGGGCTCCTGATTCTGTAGAGGTCAAATGGCACCGGGATTCGCAGGCAGGTTGAAGACTTTATATCGTTAGTAGGTTGGAGGCCATCGCTGCATCGCTAGTAGGTTGGAGGCCATCGCTTTTAGGTTGGACTAATAGGTTGGAGGCCATCGTTAGTAGGTTGGAGGCCGTCGCTGCATCGCTGGTAGGTTGGAGGCCATCGCCACTAGGTTGGAGGCCGTCGCTCCTAATTAGGTTGGAGGCCATTGCTTCCAGGTTGGAGGTCATCGCTACTAGGCTGGAGGCCATCTCTACTAGCTCGGAGGCTATTGCTTTTAGGTTGGAGGCCATCGCTATTAGGTTCAAGCCGCATCCGTTTAGAGAAGTCACGACCTCTGCCATTGAGTCTGAAACTGTGGTCGCATCCATTTGCGATGCGAGCGAGGCTGCAATGACATCACCATATGCCCGGCAGAAAGGCATTTCCGCATGGCCCACCCTGAAAATCGGTTTGTCAACCTCCGGCCTCTGGCAAGCCTGCCCTTCCAGTTGCACAGTGAGGGATTTAATGTTTTGGGGGGGAGCTTCGTTGCCCGCAAGAGTGAGAACACACAGGAGGACTTGCTTGAGCAAAAGGAGTATGTTCAATGTCTAATGTTCGCTCTCACGCCTCGGTCCGCAAATGCTGCCAAAGCTGTCGTACACCTCAGTAATCTATAAACACAATTGTTGGGACAACAGCCTGGTAACAACAGCTTCCAAAAATTCAGCTACGCGACATTCTTCACTGAGCGATAGTCATCTTGGCCTGACAGCAGGGGCCATCCTATGCTCAAACAGAATTTATAAGCACACACTCAAGTGATCAGATTTGTGAATAAGAACAAAAGTTAGCTGGTCTTTGCTAACTCACCTTCAAGACCCCCTGCATTGAAGAAGTGAGCACATTGTGCGATGAACGCAGCCTGAAACGGCTAGGCGTGACCCCATCAACAACCCAACTGTAGAAATGCAAACCAATACAGAAACATCACAACAAGCCGCTCAAGAAGCATCTCACAGGTGGTTATCTCAACACAGTCCTAACACTCACAGCTTCTTACGAAAGCTGGACCCTCTTGCTCGCGGTCTCTTCAAGCAAGGCTCCTTGGTCCGATCCAAAGGCTTTCCCATGCCATCCACACAGCTCATGCCTGCACAAGAGGAAACATGCTCAGCTAGGAACAATTAGTAAAAGCATGTGCTTCTTTTTGTTACCGTTCAGTCCTCGGCAGAACTCCTTCCTGGCCAGCAGGACATCCTTTGGAATCGAGTTGGGCTCAAAACAAAGAGCATCGGCAGCAGTGCTGTTTGAGAAACGAGCCAAAGGACTACGGCTACTTGGCGCTATGGAGCGAGCCATGCCCATCGCCAAGGCTGCTTTGGCTTGCTGCTCCACATCCTGAAGGATGTGGAGGTGAGGACAATATGCAGACGTATACTGTATTTATATAAGAATGAAAATGAAAGAAAAAATATGTTTTGGGCCCCGTGTGCCAAGGCTTCCTTTATGATCTTTAAGGGGAACTGATTCAAGGACCCAAACACACATGCGTCTTCCTTCTTCTTTCTTTCTAAGCCTTTCTGAGCAATGTCAAGTGCAGGGGCTGGTTGTCATGTTTGCGGGATGTACCCTATGTGCTTGTGCTTAGTCACTTACTGTAGTCCTAAGTTGCTGGATGGGACATTGTCCCCTCGTCTCACATGCTGCTGTGCTTCACAGGGCCTGCTCAGAGGACGCATGTCCCAGGACTTTCTGACCGCCCACACTTCCTCGATGATGGAAACACTTCCAACCGAGCAATGCCTACAGTAATTTTATTTGTTCAGTTTCAATCTTTGAGAACTTCCCCCGCCAAGGTTGCAACCAACTTCTCCGTACGGGCAGCCATTTCCACGACAGAATACACCATTCCGCGGTGGCCTTGGACTTTGCAATTGTCACGACGTTCTGCAGGTTCTCAATGCCATCAAGAAAGGCACGATGCATTTCAAGCATCTTCCGATGCCATTGCTTTGTAGTCCCAGTCCGGCAGTCACTAAGGAGTGGGCATCAAAACGGCATTGAGAGGCCCTTCTGGTGTAGAATTCTTCTCTACCTTCACTCGCACCACTGAGAACTTCGCATTCAAGAGTTCTATGCTTGAGTCTTCCAAGCCTGAACCACCAGCGCACTGCTCAATCCCACCAAGTGGGCAAAAAGCCGCGCCATCCTAGGCTATGAACTTCGATCCTTCGCTTAACTCGCAAAGTTAAGTTTCAAGCATCCATCCCCCGATTTGCGTCAAGGTCAAAGCTACGGTAATATGAGCACCCGACTGCATTCAACGGGGAAACTGCGGAGAGCCTGCACTGTGAAAACGATGATGTAGAAACATGGTTGCAGAGGAAAAGAAAATTGTAAGAGCTAGTTCAATCACTTCCCTCGTTAAGATCTGAAATGCCCCGTTCAAGGCCACATGCAAACATGTGATCCGCTTTTCTGTATTTGGTGCGCGCACACGCAGGGACAGCTAGTAGCCACCTGATATGGATCGAGGCTTTGCCTACGCAAATCAGCTCACGGCTACTTGCAGCAATGCAAGGTGATATGCCGACGTGGCCCTTGGGGCCATAAGGCCGGTGTTCTGCTGGCTCTTGAACTTACGTTCATCTGCACAAGCTGCTACAAAAGGGCCTTTTTCACAAACCGCCACATGCAGCCCACAGGTCAAGGTCGAAGGAAAAGCCGTGGGCACTTTCTAGTGCCAAGGCGATACTGAAATTCTGTCATGCCGGAAGATATGCCTACAGGGCCTACATGAGTCATTCTGTACACTTTCGGGGCAAGACACCAAACAACAGTTGCAATAAAAGCTTTTGTACCTGTTGGAGATGTCTCACCTAGGACTCGACCAGCAAAGTCAGCGAATTTTGTCGACAGGAATGAATAGTTTTTGCACACGGCCCGTTGCTGATGTTTAGCTTTGCATTCTACTATATAGGTAATGTCTGAGGTCGAATCGGCTCTCGTCCCAAAAAGAATTGGCTCGTGAGCCTCTTGGCGTCCTGATGGCGCAATTACTAGGAGCACTACTCACACAAAACAAAACTATGCCTTCAAAGTTATTTTAGTTACTGTACAGTAAAGAAACAGTGCACAAAGTTGCACGAAGACCTCCAAAGAACAAATGCAAACCTTTGGAATCCTCAATCCCCTCATAAATTATCCTTGGAGTTTCACATGCGGGCACTCATTTGAAGAGATACAAGTCTGCGGGACCCTGTGCCGAATCAGCTTCAAGCCTGTGGTACCCCTCCCAAGCATCCAGCCTCATGGCTCACCTCGACCCATGTGGGATCTTCACTCATCTTTTCAACGAACCTCAGTGCACAATTCTCCAAACACTGTTCTTCTGCCCTCCGAGATGTTATGGAAAGGAAAAAAGGGCTTCGTTTACTGCAAATTCACAAGCAATCTTCTGGCCTTCGTGAATAGAGGGTTGCAATCTCGGAAAGGTCTGCATCCTGTGTTTCAGAGCGTCATTATCAACTCGACTTTAGCCACTAGCCCTTACTGCATGCTTTTCCTGGATACAACCGATTGAAATATCCGCAGCTGGGACTTGAGAAATTGCCGAATTGGAAAGGAATGTCCTTGAGGGTCAAATCGCAGAAGCTCTTCACGTCAATGCCAATCACGGTCGTTTCATCCATTGCCTTCATTCGGGGTAAGGCTGGCATTGCCCAGGCATGGGGACAAACACTTTCAAAAGAATCTACAGGCACCCACACTCAAGACGTGCTGAACTGTCAGGTAAGCCAAACAAGCAACCGGAGCTTCGAGCACCAACGCAAAAACTTTGCAGGGCTGAAGCCCATGGGTGAATACAATACATATAAATAAACAAATAAACAAACTATATATATATATATGTTTGTGTGTGCGCGTTCTTCTTCTCATTTCTTCAGGCAGTTTGTCACTGCTTAGTTTCTGGCCACAATGATCTTTCTAAACGAACCTGGGATTCATGGATTCCTGGATCTGCCTCCGCATGTTCGCCACACAGTGCTACACCCACCTCAAGGCGATGGGTACGTGCAGGTTCTGAGTCCTAGCTACCCCTTACTATTGGGTTGTTACTACAGTAGGCCCTACTGTTAGGTAATGGAGGTCACCATCCTGCGGGTCCTAATGGTTAGCTAGAACACGTTCTCACTCCAAGAATTGCGGCAGCGGCGCAACATGTGCTGGTATGAATATATGCACACACATACTGCCCACACACACTTAGGATAGGGTGTGCTGAACTGAAAGCGGTGCCACACGCCAGCCTAAGCAAAACCACCTAAGGTTCCAGGTAGTAAGTTTGAGGCCTCCAAAACCTATGAACACGAGGTCGAACGGCGGCGACAGGGTGACGACGGGTCGTGCAAATCCTCCAAGGTGAGTCGCCGCTGCATTAGACGCTTACTGCACAACAAAGAATGAGACAGCTTTCGCCATACTTAGGTTCTCAATAGCAGGTACACCAGGTTGATCAGACCTGGCTTCCCAGATGCAAGGTAGCTTTGTTAGGCGCAGTCCGCTCAAAATGAAACCGGAGTCCAAAATACAATCCAAACGGACCCCTGTGACTACAAGGGGCACACACACACACACGCCTCCTGAAGGGGAGGCATGTTTTAAGCGCCGAGCCGGACAGGTTGGGTGAAACTAACGAAACTGACGAAGTTCACGGAATGTTTGGTAAGCAGTGAGTGGAACACGAAGTTGACAAATGGCATCATCATGTAACCGTGGGGCGACTGTGTGAAGAGGGCGGTAGGGATATGGCATCTCGTGAATATTCATGTGGGACACCAAGTACGCGAAGCCGTCGAGAGTTGACGTAGTAAAGAACAAGATCCTCAAGTGTGCAGGTGTGTGGGACTTCCCAAACCCTGGAATCGCCGGTAGATGGAAGGGCCATCCAAAATGATGTGCGTTGTTGTCCAATTCGGGAATAGATCACATCTTTGAGGTCGTCAACAGTATATTCCTTGGTCTCGAGCTGGGACGTGTCAAGAGTGACAGTGATATAGTTGAGCGGTTGATAGACCAAGAGGCTGATGTCCAATTCAAATCGGACGGTGGAGAGATGAGGGACTTGACTTGATCAAGCGTTTCAAAAGGTTGCCGTATGGCTCTCCAGTCAGTAGGAATCAACTGAGTCAAAGGTTCAGGAACGCGAAGTCTGGGTGAAGAAATCATCGTGGGGGAGGGATACCGGGATAGTTGGATAAGCTGAAATGGCTGCAGGGAATAAATCAGTGAGAGGGTCGATGTAAAGAGGATTAGGGCAAGTGGTCATGAGCGTGAGAAATTGTCAGGTGTGAAAACAAATTATTTCCAGATTGAAGAGGTCGTGCGTTCGGTGGGGAGGTCGATGATGAGGTCAGGGACATTGAAGCGGAATCGGGGACAGGCACGTCCGCCCCAGCAGCAACAGGTGAGAGTGGTAGATCTGAGGAGTCGTGTGGTGGAGCGGCGGTCGCAGGTGTAGACTGTGTTTGTTGATCAACAGCAGCCTGTAGTTCCTCTCGATAAGTCGTCAGCGTATGGACAAGTCCATCCAGGACGGTGTGTTGTTGAGCAGCGGGGAGATCCCGTAACCGGGGGTAGTCGAGACATCCATCTCGGAGAAGTGCTGAAGCATGTGTTCCAGCACGGGTGTGCTCCAGATTGTCCACAGCTTGACGTTTCCGGCCTCGAGGATAGGAATCAGGAGTTGGAGATTGTGCTGCAAGGCGTTGCTCCTCTGCGATCATGGCTCTTTCATACTCCTCACAAGCCTGCCAAATGGGAAGGCGTTGGGTGGCACTCAAGACAAGTTGCCAGCCGCGAGTGCTCCAGACACGATAGTGACAGTCTTTCCAGGTGGAGGAGGGGTGCCGGTCCAGGAAGAAGCCATTGGCGGATTGGAACTAGGCCACGTCATCGTGTCGTTGTCCCACTTAATAGTGCGGTAGTGGAACCAGGCGCGATAGAACCAATATCGGGAAGTACCGTAGGTGCGGCAAGCCCATTCTTCATGAGGGAATGCAACATAAAAATCTCCATGATTGCGAGCATGAAAATGGTCAACATCGTCCACATAATCCTCATTGTATTGATTGTCAACTCTGGGAAGACCTGGGAGGAGGGTAGGATCCAGACTTGCAGTAAAGAAGTGTGGTGGCACCAGAGGTCAGGTCAACGATAACGTTAGAACCTCCAGGTCCGAGAGGAAGAGCCATAGAAATTTGCATCTGAGGGTGCATCCGGGAAGAACTCGCCGAGGCATCCGAGGGGTGCGTAGAGCCAGTGGTATCATTGATGTCCATGACGGTCAAGCAAAGCAGGGGTGAAAGTCCTGAACACAACCATGTAATCCAAATGGCTGCAGAGAGAGAGAGAGAGAGATGCTGGACTGCATGGCAAATGTCGGCATCCGAAGGCTTGCAAGCTTGAGCTTCGTGTCTAGCCCCCCTTTGCCCATTTGGTCAAAAGTGGCACCACGCCAGGCCTCACGGAGCTGGTGTGCGCCGTGAGCAAGGTCTGCTTTCCCAGCGGCGGCTGGAATCACGAGGCGAAGGCGACTGACAGGGTGGAACCACCTCCAAGGTCCTTCCTCCTGCCATGCATCATCCTTCAAGATCACACGGAGCTTTGCCACCTGCGTACCAGGTTGCTTGCCCCACCTGCACGGGGGGTTGGCCATTCGAAGTCTGCACACACGGGCAAACAAGCGCTGCAGCAAGACCGGTCGAAGATGTACTGTGCCCCCATAAATCACGGATCGGATCAAAGGGCTAGCCATCTTATTGCGACCCAAAACGGCCGTCAACGTGTTAAACAAAGCATTGCAAGTGGCTTTAGGAGGCATCCGAGCTCCCCAACCGAAGCTTGCCACGGGGAGGGCAAGTTTGCGAAACAAAGAGAGCTTTGCGGAATAAGGCAACGGCAAAACTTTGATCAAATGAGTTCTTTTCACTGCCAACTGCACCCGACCGGATTCTTTGGCAGTATTCTGACGCGGACCTGTAGCGATGCATGTACCAAGCACAGAAAAATCTCTCTGACGACACCACTCGGGGTGTTCTTCTTGGAGCTGCTCCTGCCCACGCCGAGTCTTGGCGCAGGCCAAGGTTTTGTTCTCGTTCTCTTTGAAGCCAACCAAGTCCGAAAAACTTTTCCAAGCTGTCACACAGGCGGCGGACTGTGCAAGGTCCTTGCCAATCCAAGTTCTATCGTCCATATATGAAAGGAAAGGAAGGGCGTCCACGGACGCGAGCAAGAAACCAGCGTCAACCAACTGAGATTTTACCGAGTTCTGACCTGCCAACATCCAACAAGCGAGGGTGAGGGGTGCGAGAGGGCACCCCTGTGGCACAGCAGAATGCTGCAGTGTGCTATGGTGTGTGTGGTCACCATATTGTATCCATCTTTCTGTGCGCCAAGCCTGCCGAATGTGCTCTGCAAGACACTTGGGCAAACCAATGTGTGTTAGAAAATCCGCACTGGCACTGGCAGACATGCGATCATAGCAAGCAGAATAATCCAACGTGACTAGGTGCTCCAGCGTGTTGGCTCAACCCACAGAGAGACTGTGGGAGAGCTTTGACCCAAGCTCTGCAACTTTTGCTCAGACACCAGGAGGCGGCCCATATACGCCACCATATACTGAGCACAGTGATAGGGCGTAAGTCGGCAGTGGCCACGCAGGCCGTGTCCGTGAGCTTGTGCATTTTGGGAATGTTCACCATTCTACCCTGTGTAAGAGCATGAGGAATGCGTTCTGCTTCGCACCATCTCAGAGCAATGCTGTGAAAAAGTCGCCAAGTTTCTTCAGGCAGAGCATGCACTTCAGCAGCCGTCCAACTATCACACCCAGCCGCTCCCTGACATTTCTGCGCAGCGGCCAGCACTTCCCAGTATGTGGGGGCATCCCACGCGCTGGCCAAATGCTGGGCTGGAAAATTGTCTGCAAGAGTCCTGGCAATCGATTCCGCACTGACCCCCAGGCTGTCAGTGCGCTGAGCTTGCTCGGCCCAGAGCTGCGACCAGTACTCATGAACAAATTCCGCAGCTTGGTAATCGGAGTGAGCGGATTGGCCATGATGAGTGACTGTGAAACCCATTCACTGATTGCTTTGATGTCTTGGTTGACAAACTTTTGCCGCCATTTTTGGAACCTGGCTTCGGTGTCGGCGGCTTCCTGCCTGTTTCTATCAGCACGGCAAGAGGCTATTTCACTGGTCACGAGCGCAAGCACCTGCGCCAGGCTGGCTTCAGCTATCACAAAATGATAAGGCCAAACTTTGCGCAAGAGATTATGGAGCTCAGAATTGCAATGAGCCACCCAATGCTTTCCCTGGCTGACTTCTTTCTTAGCTAAGCGGAGCACCGTGTACATGCGAGCCAACTTACGAGAAAGAGCTTTATCGGCTTGGGAAGAATTGGCAGGGGCGGCATTTCGCAGCACCATATTGACCATCTGAATCTCTGGCTTTTGCACGCCCTTACCAGTTTTGACACCAGGCTGGCGCAGCTTTTGCAACAACTCCCGTTCGTGAGCGGGAGTGGTTATATGTTTGGCAGCATTCTGAGTGGCGAGGCGCATGACAGCGCTGAGAAGGCTCATATATCGCTTCCATTCTTGTTCAACATCAATCGGCTGATTACCCAAGTTTTGCAAACACTGCAAATCGCTGTTTTGGCAACACAGGAACCAGGCTTTGCGAACAAGGGCTTTCCAATCTTCGGCCGAAACGAAACTGGGTTTCTCCCACCTAGGCTGAGGCTTGAACCTGCCTCGTTGCAAAGGTGGGCGTCGAGGCTGGCATGTCGTCGTATGATCACTGAGGTGGACCGTTTCACACACGGCCGGAGCACAAATGTCGGCTTGGCTGGCAGCACAACCGATTTCTCGAGGAGTTTTTTGCTGCCACCGAGTACCTTGACCGCTTCCCACTACGACCGCCAGATGGGCGGCCTGGAGGACCTGAACTAGGACAGAGCTTTCAGGAGGATCATTGTAATTCCCGGCAACAACCCAGGCCAGGTTGGCCATGTGGTGTGATTCCATGGCGGCCAGGATGTTTGCCGCCTGTGAAATGGAAATTAAACCATAAAGTGAAAGTCGTGATGGCAGGAAAATCATGGATGTCAACAAAGAAATTGGGTGGAGAATCATGGATGTCAACATAGACATTGGGTGGGTCAAGCTGGAGCCACGTAAACGAGGTGGAGTGGAGTGGTAAATGCAAAAGTGTAACAATCACATGAATCCGAAATGTGAGAAAGAGCAAATTCATCAGAAATTCTTTTCGAATCAATACCGAGTGGAAGAAGGTGGTGAAACAAACGTACTAGCGCGGGTTCAGGCGAGAACGAGAGCGGGAACGAGATCGGGTCGAAGTGCCTCTGGGCGCAGGACCATGACGTGAGTTGCCGCCCGTGGTGCTGCCGGATCGTGTAATCGAGGGAGTAGTGGTGGGAGGTGGGGAATGGGGATGGGCGTCTAATCGATGGTAGGTGCGACCCTCAAGAACGGCAATGCTGCCGGTGGATGTAGTCGTCGAAGGAGGGCGGTCTGCAAAGGGTGGGCGATCTGCAAAGGTTGTGCGTCCACGTAGTTCTTCTTCAAGCTGTTCAGGACTATGATGAAGGATGCGCAGCAACCCATGCAGTGAGAAGCTCATGAGTGTAATGAAGGGCTGAGTGGGTAGCCCGCAAGCCCAATAAGAGGGTAGAGTCCAGACCTTGTAGTTGTCCTCGAAGTTGTGGGCAGGTGACCCGAGCAAGAAAAGGGGTGGAGCGTATCGCAAGGGGTTGACGCAAAAGCGTCTGAACCAAGGCCAAAGAGGCGTGTACATGAAATAGTTCACGATGTAGGACGGCCTGTGCCACCAGTGAGACGCCCTCCGTCGGCGCCCAGCCACAAGGGGATTGGGGCATGTCAAGAAGGTCGGTAGGAGGGGCAGGCGGGTGGCTCATGGCGGTGGGATCAAGGTGGGCGGCCCCTATATCAACAATGGAAACTGGAGCCACAGGTCATGAATAAATTCAACTGAACAGATGGAACAGAAATGGAAAAGAAAGTCGGAGTGGACCAGAATAAAAGTATGTGAAGAGTAAAGCGCGGTGCAAGTTGTTCTTTTCCAAGGAAGAGGACCCAAACTAATGGAAAGATCGTGAAACTGGGTCTAACGCGGGTTCACTCGTGAGCGAGAACGAGATCGATCCATACGGTGGCTGAGGGCGGTGCGAGGCACGGTAGTGGTCCGAAAGATGTCATCAGTTGCATCAGAACCAGTGGTAGGTGTCGAAAGGGTTCGCGGTGTAGTCAAGGGTGGACGAGAAGTTGAAGTCGTAGTCCGGGTAGAGAACGAAGAAGTCGGTGGGAAGACGCGGGGGTCCCTCTGAGTTCGGCTGCTAACTGAGCTGAATCAAAACGTGTGGCACGCATCAAGCCAAAGGTGGTCAACAACTCCAAAGTGTAATGAAGAGCAGTGTAGGTGACCTGCCGTGTCTGAAGGATGCTGGCCTCCAAACCCCGAAGTTCTACTTGAAGGTGAGGGCAAGTGACACATGTCAGGAACGAAGAATCCAACATGGCAAATGGGGAACGAAGAACATGGAGGATACGGTTCAAAGAAGCATGTACATGAAGGATTTCACGATGTAGCATAGCCTGGGCCACCATAGGGATGCCCTCCATCGGCGCCAAGCCCGCAGGAGAAGTGGACATGGCAGAAGGTGTTGGGGAGGATGGGTCACCTGGTAAACTAAGGCGCCGACAGGTTCCAATGAACCTTAAACTTGCTTTGACCGCTATGGTCACCTTGCGCCTTGCCAAAATGGCTGGCTGCTTTGACCGCTGCGATCACGTAAAGGCATGAGCCATCTTGGAACGCAATAATTCGACAAGTCTTGGCAAATAACTTTGGCGTAAGCCTCCTGCTGTCCGCTCCGGACACCTACCTTCCCAAAGCCGGGGAACATGGACTAACCCCCGTTAGACGGGTCCACGGGAGGCACTCTTCGGGCTCATCCCGGGCTCTCACTAGGAGAGACACACTTAGGATAGGGTGTACTGAACTGAAAGCGGTGCCACACGCCAGCCTAAGCAAAACCACCTAAGGTTCCATGAGGCCTCCAAAACCTATGAACACGAGGTCGAACGGCGGCGACAGGGTGACGACGGGTCGTGCAAATCCTCCAAGGTGAGTCGCCGCTGCATTAGACGCTTACTGCACAACAAAGAATGAGACAGCTTTCCCCATACTTAGGTTCTCAATAGCAGGTACACCAGGTTGATCAGACCTGGCTTCCCAGATGCAAGGTAGCTTTGTTAGGTGCAGTCCCTTGCATCTGCTGCGCCCCCCTGCTCAAAATGAAACCGGAGTCAAAAATACAATCCAAACGGATCCCTGTGACTACAAGGGGCACACACACAAATACAAATACGATGTTATATATATATAAATAAATAAATAAAGTATGTACACGCAGAACGCTGAAAGCTACGCACTAAATTATATTGAGTTTGTTGGAAATTTGGAGAAACTTTTACGTCACTGATGAACTTCCAGCTGGTTGATGAGTTGAGATCACCTGCTGCAAGGCAGCAATCACAAGCAGCGCGTCCTCGGAATCACGGGTCAGCTTGACTGTTCTTGCGGGGGGCAGGAGCACCGTTGCAAGACTTCGCCAACGAAAACAATTGCAACCGGTGGAGAATCCAAACCTGATCAGACTGACGCGCCTGCAGTGATGACTTGAATGGTTTTCCGTTGTGGGTAGAACAAGCTTCCGTTCTCTGCATCGGCTGTGCAGTCTGCAGTCTTCCACTTGTCGCTCGGTCTCGCTTGAGTGTCAATTTAAATGTTGCACATTGCACCGTGCACCTTTGCTTTGGCTTTACCTATCTCGGGTTCCTGAGCAACCGCTGCAGCCGGATGTCTATATATATTTTTCTATATATAGTTAGATATATAACCCCAAAAACCACTTATTTTCACTACCTCCTGGCCACCTCTTTTTTCGCTCTCCCGTCAGGGTTAGCCCTCCGAAATTGGCCTGTGCACCCACCCACCCCCTTTACTCACTGCGTTTGCCCAACAAAACTTCAGCCTAGCCTATCGGCTAGCTTTCGTGATATATATATATATAGTTATATAACTTCTCCAGTGTGTAAGCCGCATCCTGGGGTGCTGATCACCGGCACCACAAATGCCACGAAGGGTTCAGGTTGTTGAAATGATTTCGCTTGACTAAAAATGCAATCTATCAAACTGTTGTCTATATATATATACTAAAGCATTATATAAATAAGTGTAACGCTGTAACGTGGACGTGTATACATAGATATATGTAGATGTGATTTGTGTGTCTACCGAAAACGGTACGAGTAGCTCAATGCCATTGGCCCACTGACACCCTACCTGTGCCACGCCCACATGGGCCCAGTTGCACCAAATAGCAACTTCACACAGGTAGTCGTCCTTCCGCCGCTCAAGCATTCCGTTTGCAAATCGCCAGTTGCAACTTGCAAACAGGCGGCCTGGCCTGCTCCAAAACCTCGGCCCACGGCAACTGGTCGGTTCGCTCACGTTTAATCACTGCTCGCACTTGCGCTTTTCTTTTCATCCTCATCATCGGCATCATCATCCTGCTAGTCCTCGATGCCTACTGGGGGTCTAGAATTCCACTATGAGTCATATGAGCAGAAGAGTTTGGTGAGTCTTGTGGAGAATGTTTGCCTAGCACACTTGAGCATAGCAGCAATACCAACAGCCAAACTGGCTCACACCAACAGTAACAGCACCAACAGCAGTGCGCATTTGGCATCAGGTAATAAGTAATTGGTATACTGAACATTAGACACCACATTCCTCTGCATGCCTCACCTTCAGCAAAGGCACGGTGGATGCGTCTGTGATAGGAATGGAATGGAAGGAATGAAGTGAATCAACCGAAGCGGTCTCCCAATCTGAAGAAAATTCATTCCTGACGAGCAGGCGCGCAACCAGGGAATGAGCCGGTTCGGAAAAGAACAACATGATACCAATTGGAACCGGCATCCAAACATGGTTTGCTGGTCATGATAAAGTGCCTTATCATATGGACTGTCGGGTCCATCCTCTTGATATTGATATGCGTGTTGTACCCCGTAAGCTTTCAACGAAAGAGCTTTCCCTCTTCGGGTGTCCCACCTACAGGAACCCCACTCCTTGCGACCAAAAAAAGAGCATCTCCAGCCTGGAACGATCTGGAACAAGGCCATAGTGGATGTTGCCCTGTTGAATGAAGAACATCTCCGATGCGGCGTCCACCAGGCCTCGAGGTTCAATTGTTGACTTCACTAGCATCTCGCAGAATCTTGCAAATTGCTTCACTTTAACGTTGCTGAAAACCCTGAAACAACAAAATCGGTGCGGACTGAGTGAAGGAAATGATGGGAAATGAGCAGTTATCTGAAAATCGTGCTGAAAAGAGGATCTGCCGCTGCCAGCTCTTTGGTGTGAAGCACCCGTCCGCTCATGCCTCTCAGTAGCAGCAGAAAAGCACAATGGCACCAAATAGACAAGACACAGCTTGTCAGGGGGCAAAATGTGAATTTGGGCGAACGACTCACATAATGGCTCCAACACTCTTCAGGACGAACAGTCACATCATGTTTGACTTTAAGCTCATGTTGAAGCGGGTATCTCCTGTGGATGCTCCGAAGCATTGCATGTCACATGATTTGTCTCCAGGTATCGTCAGAATCATCTGAATTCCGCGCAGGCAAGGCGCGATTCAAAATAGCCTGCGACATGGCCCCAAACTTGTTAGGCCATCACTGCAAATGTATCGCACAAGCCCCTACCAAAACATACCGGGTTCCCCCCGCTCAAACCAACATGAACGTAAAAATTGGTGACACTGCAACCGAAAATTGTTGTACAGCACTAAAGTTTGTTCGTGAGGCTCACAACCACAAACTGCCCGCCTCGCTCATTTTTCGGATGTAGCAAAACCTGAGCTGCAATTAGTCCAAGCAATGACTCTCTCTCTCTCTCTCACTCTCCACTGCTGCAAATGCCACAACATTACTACTTCGTACAGTACCAGTACTTTGATGTACTCTGTGCTACTTTGCGCGCCTCCCTTTCACATGAGGCTTGGTAAATGACAGCCGTGCTGTAGGTGGTGGCAGGTATGCCATAATCAGGAAAATTATCGTCTGCGAAGATCAAAGAGCATGCCCAGTGGCATGGGATGAGCCACGAGGCACCTGAAATGCGTGAAGAACTTGAGCTCGTTCCTGTGAAGAAAGCAAAAGTCTTGGCTTCCGTAACTTCCGCTGCGTCGGCTGCTTCTGATCCACCACCAGTGAATTGCTACACTGTTTGGACATTCCTGTGAAGTTTCTCACTGATGCCTCAGCTGGTCTGTCAAGCTGGTCAAGATTGTAATTCTCCTCGGCACGACGGCGGCGCAAGCATGGCGAATAGCATCCACCTTCATCTATTTGCTTTGTCTATTTGGCTGCCTGGTTGGGGAGGAAAAAAGGACCGCAGCAAAACAAATGCAGAGGGAGAGGAAGACCGAGAACCCACCAGAACGGCTTCATTACTTCTCATTTGAACACATGCAGCCTAGTAACTCTTCTGGAACGCGCTCGTCCACTGTCTTCAACGCCTGAAGGTTTTGGTCTGCAAGAGGAATAATTAACTCAAAGAATACCATAGTTAGGCCTAGCAACAACTCAAAATCTTCGTATATTAGTCTCGTAACAAGTGTTCAAACGTCTTTACTGAGGGCTAATGACATACTGTGGGCATTTGCTGGGCTTGTGGCATAGGAGTTGTGGGCCGCCGCATTTAAGTCATCAGTCAGTAGACAAGGTAGCCAAATGTAGGACACAGTAGGATGACGTAGGAGGCGCGGACGTTGCCAGTACATAACACGCAAACCTTTTGAGACAGCATCAACGTGTGCGCCAGAATCATGTCTGTATGTTTTGACCTGATGAGATAGAAGGCATATAGGCTCCTTCACTGATGACGTAGTTTATTTTTTCCCACCCATCGTTTCACAGGTCCTAGCTCACTTTAGTGTATGAAGTTGTCTCGTGTCTGAGCGGTGCACATACTCAATGTAGCGCATCACCTTGGATTGATCTCGGGTCTCAAAACGCAGCATTCATGGCATTGCTCGTCCCACGCATTCTGTTAATCTAGGGCTCAATCACGCAGCATGGTTCGAACTTCAACCGCAGCGAAATGGGACAGCACGGTGTTGTCCAAGTCGCTCTGAAGCACAGGTCCCTTGGCACCTTCTGCTGCTTCAAGTACCGGCGAAGCAGCCAAAACCTCTGCGCTGTGGCTACAACGGGGAGAAATACACTTGAACTACGCCAGTCCAAACTCACTCCCCATGTTCTCCACATGTTCTCGGTTGCATTAGTACCAGGAGGCTGCTTGGACTTGTCGGCTTTCATGTTGCGCAGCTGCGACATTGACCCCTCGGGAAGCGCACAACCCTGCAGTGAAAGCTGTCTCGCTGAATCAATAACTACGTGACACATACAAATACAAAGCTATACAAAGCTATAAGGCTACAAAGGCTTTGGCAGTGATGGAGCTGATGAATGAGGAGAACAGAACCAGGCCCGCAATCAAGACCTAGCACAAACAGTCGAACACCTTCAGCATGCAGACCTTCATGTATTTACATGCTAAGGTCATGTCCATGATGGCGAAGTAGCGCTCCCAAACATTTTGAGGGTGCACCTGCAATGCGCAATGAAGCTACAAAACGGATCCGTCGCACCAGCTACGAGCTCGGTCCGTGACATCCATAGAGGCCGGAGTGAACTGTGTGAGAGACCAATGCAAACTTGTGCCTCGGCATCCCAATGCCAAGGCATCCAAAGGCTGCATATCTTGCACGCTTTTAAGCTTTAGGGGTTTGACAATGAAAGTGACAAGGGTTCCGGGATATCAGCCCCAAACAACCACCACAACCTACGAAGTGGGAGGTGTTCGGAAAGGTACCCGATAGTATGGAGAACCCTGGCACGGGTGGGTACACGACGGGGAGTCCCTGAAGGGTTAGTCCCCGTAGTGTAGTTGAGGGGTGTGCGGACGAAAGGGAGCACAGTACGGCAACCTAACGAAGTGCACGAAAGCGAACAAAGCTTGCACGAGCGAACGCGAGCGAACGGCGTGCGCGACAGCTGAAAAGCACGACGGAAGCGCGCTTTTCTTGAGCCAATACATGTCGGTATGACATGAAGTGTTTGACTGTACACGACGTCCCATTGAATGACAAGTTAGGGGTTGAATCCGTATGGAAAACTTTGACTCCCCCCTCGCCGTTTTGGCGTGCCATGGGACACTATGTACATGCATTAATTACCGCGCATTAAGCAGCGGCTTTGGCATCTACGTCGGCACCTAACGAAAAGCTTCGATCCCCAAGGGATGGCTTAGGCTCACGAATGTCAGTACGTATGCCAAGAAGGCATAAAGCTTTGTACCACTTCTGCGGTGGTAGTGCTTTAGTAAAGATGTCGGCGGCCTGTTCGTTGGTGTCGATGTATTGCACCTTGATGCATGGGTCATCGAGACACTCTTTCAAGGATGAGAGGTTTATCCTGTGTGTACGGCCGATATGTCGAAGTTTCGGGGAGTACCCCTTACGAACGACTATGATGGTGGCTTGGTTGTCCTCGTGGATAACTAAGTCCACCGGCCTCTGCAAGAGTTTCTCCCAGAGTTGGAGAGCAGGGATGCCCTCCTGGTACAAAGAGTGTGCCAAACTTACCACTTCTGACTCCGTGGTGGAGCGTGAGGTGGATGTCTGCCTTTTCGAGATCCATGCAAGTGGGAAAAATGCGTTAGGACCTTTTAGTGTGAGGAAACCGCCCGAGGTTGACTTGACGTCACCGGAATCGCCCCCAAAGTCTGCGTCGACATATAGCTCAAGCCTGAGATCCTTGGGATCGTCTTGGCAAGATGCGGTTAGTCTATAGTCTAGCGAATATTGGAGGTATTGGATTAGCCTTAGTAACTTCTTATCGTGTACTCTGGTCCAGGCTTGGACCTTAGTCGCTAAGTCGTTAATAGGCTTAAGGATGTCAGGTCTAGACAGGCGGGCCAACCAAAGGGCCTTCATTAGTATTGAACATGCTTTTGGGGGAGAGTCCTCGTCCTCCTTTGACCACGTTCCGTCAGGGATGAAGGGAGTTTGCGCAGGCTTGATTTTATCGACTTTAGCTACGCTTTTATAAAGGTCTATGGTCTGTTGGGCATAGTCCTTCATGTCGAAAATCAATGCATCTGGGGCCGCGCCTAAAGCAGCGTTCTCTTCACCCTGAACTTTATCGAAACTGGCGTAAACATGGTTTCTTCCGAGGATTCTATAAATGGTTTCGGGAGGCTCTACGTTTACTTCTGACATTAGTTGGTTCCAGAAAGGAGCATGGTGCTCGGATGGTCCGGATAATGTCAAATCGTCTACGTACGTAGATAACATGAGACCTGTCCCTTTGAAATAGAAATTTCCGGGGTACTCAGGAATCTCCTCGCCGTCCATTTTCTTTAAAATCCCTTTTAGGTGGTTTTCCCACATTCCGCCTGCATCGGGATGTCCGTATAATGCCCTCACTAGAAGTACAACTGGACGGGTGAATTTTCCTTTCCACCACTCCGGGCGGAGTTCAGGTGGAAGTTCGATCCACGTTTTGTACTTACTTTTGAGAAAGGCTTGGACATAAGCCTTCACGGCGTCCGCCGCCGTGCAGGCATGTCCCGGCGAGGAGCCGTAGGCTAGACAGGCGTTTAAGCCCTGTACGGATGTTGGGTTCGCGCCCAACTCCTCGTAGACGGCGGCGACGCCATGCTCGTCGCGTGCACAGTCGCCGCGATATACTATTCGCCCCTTCATTTTGTGAAGGTGTTCTGCTAGTTCCCAAAATTTAATTGAGGCGATAGTCATTAAACGGCCAAAGTGTACGGACACTTTGCTAGCCTTTGCTTCAGCCTTGACTGCGTCATATTCCTGAACCGAGTCAAGATCCCAGGTACATGTCGGCGTTCGTCAGGTCGAGGTGTTCCTTGCTTAGGGGTACATGTGGGATTCCCAACTCTAGAAATGTTTTGTGCATCTGAGAATCGGGGGCACACGCAAACTCGAACATGCAGCGGTTGAACTTGGGTGGTCTCTTTTTACCTCTACTTCTCTTTTTCTTAACTTGATCTACTTGTGGGGCTTCGGTCACTGTTGGCATTCCATACACAGGCACACCACTTTCGGGTCTAGTTTGTACTAGTTGGGTCCTATATGTGGTGTGCGGGGTTATCGAAAGGCCGGCTATTACCGTCGGCGTAGCACTGGCGTCCTCTGGTGTCTCCGGCGGAGGGTCCGCCGGTGGTGGTGGAGGCGGATCTTCTGGGGCTACAGGAGGAATTTCTTCAACAGTCATTCCTTCCTTTCGCTTAGCCAAAAGGTCGGCCTTCTCCTCTTCAACAAGGCGTGCAAAACGTTTTCGGCATTCGGCAGTGTGATGACGAGTCTTGCGCTCGCAGGCCTTGCAGCCAGGAGTTTCGCTGAATCGGATTACTCGATCTAGTGTTATGTACACACTTCGGGACTTAGGCCCAACGGGCGTCGGCGGCGCAGCGCCTTCGCCCTCTTCCCCAAAGGGAACCTCCTTCATGGGATAGTCAGGCATGTCTAGTTTGGCAATGTCGTCCAAAATTCCTAACGAACCACCATGGAGATGCCTCAACTTCGTTGATGCCATGGGGAAAATGGGCGGTCCTTCCTCTGTGTAGATTTCTGCCTCGGGCACATCTAACACATTGGGGTGTTTACTAACCTTAAAATCCATGTAATCCATGATTCCGGCTACATAACGGTAGCGGAAACCCGACTCGATGCGCCATCCCATGAAGAGACCAGGCGACATGTTTGGTTCGAGAGTCCTCTTGCCTACCTTACGATCTCGGTAATACACTAATTGACCAAAGCATCTGCGAATGCCATCAAATTTAGACCTAGTTAGGGCCTCCCATTGTGACTTGGCCGGGTCTGACAATGAAGGACGATCAAACGACATCGACATGCAGGCGTATGGAAACGAGTATGTGTGAAACTCATACGGCAACCCGGATTGCATATGAACTGCACGGCAACACTCTTTCTCCTCACGAATGTCTCGCTCTAGCGTGGCGTTATGGGGCCATCTATTGGGGAGTGAGACTTCGGGGAGCAAGCCTACTTCATGAGCGGCTTGTTCCAGCTCGCCTGCTTCGTCCATTTTAATGAGGACACACGACGCTAATTCGTTTGCTCTTAGCCCCAAGAAATGTCTAAAGTTCTTGGCATGGTTGCTAGCTGTCCTGTTTACCATGGGATAGGCTATCCTGGCGCCAGAAAACGTGTCCCTGACTATGTGGAAAACCTTAGTCCCACCCGTCCCCTTACCAGCAAAATCATCGCCCTTGGCCATGATCACGTCGTCAGTTGACAATTGCTCGAATGGTCCTTTGGGAGGATCAAGCATGTCATCATCTCGGGTGTCGGGCTTCCTTGCCACCCTCTTGCTGGTGGACTTGGAAATTTGACAAACAGGACAATAAGGGTTCTTAGGATAGTGGGTTAATATGTGTGGCTCTTCGAAGGCAGCGGCTTTTAGCGCTTCGGGCGCGCCGTCCAACTCGACATCCGCAATCTCCAACAATGTCTTGTCGTCATCGGGATGTGGAGGAACCCTCTCCGCGCCCGCGCTAGGAGCAGCGGCTATTGAACCCTTACTTTGACTAGAATTGGATTTTGGTGAAACATCGGAATCTAGATCCATGGGCTCACTGACGACATCATCCGCCACACTTGGTGTGGAAAGCTCCCCATCTGAAAATATGGAATCTTCATGATTGGTGGAAGCCGGGGAGGCGTCAACTGCACCCATTGGTTGCAACCGGTCTGGTGGAACAAAATCAACAGGGGTGACTTCTTCGTCATACTGAGGAACATATTCCACAACACGGCTAGCACAAATCCGATGCTTTCTAGGAATACGAAGTCTACACTGGGGGACTACGCTGGGCGGCACTAGATATGGTACCTGCTCGCGAGGGTCCCAAATAAACATGTACCCTTTGTCCATTACTGTCTTCCCTATTGACTGCGCCGGGGGGGCACTCGTTTAGGATGTAGACCTCTTCTCCCTCAAGGATGGGACTGCCTTTAAACGCCAACGATTTCACGCTTTGTTGCGCACCCCCCCCGTGGTGAAGTTCACGGGGTTTTGTGAGGGGGCGGCATGTTGTCTCACGCTTGAGGTTAAGGCTTGTTTGCCGAACAAATGTCTCCCAGCGGCGGTGTCCCATAGCCAGGAGATCTTCCCATTTGAGAAGGCAGGAAGCGCATGAACCTGTGCAGCCGCAGCGGTAGCTTTTGCCTTCTCCTTTGGGAAGCGGAGAGCCCCTTGTATTTGTTCTGCGAGTCATGAAGGAACGCGCATTGCTTTGCGCGGCAGCTGTTGTACGCGTAAAACGCACATGGTGTTCTCGCTTTCTCCTGGGCGGTCACGTCGGCCGCACGCTTGACCTGCTGTGACCTTGGTGTGGTCGGAGGTGTTGGTGTGTTGCCTTTCGGCTTGGCCTTTGGTGGGCTTCTTGGAGCCTTAGACTTGGGGCCCGGGGCTGCGTGAACATCAACAGGCTGCTGTTTATCCTTCTTGGCCTTTTCCTTCTTTTCTTTCTTCTTGTCCTCCTTGGACTTCTCTTTCTTAGGTTTATCGGTCTTGGCGGGATTAGCGGGGATTGCTTTAGGGTTATATGTGGTGGCTAAAATCGGCAGTATGGGAATCCCGCAACTTCTTGTCGAAGGCCTGCCTGTTAGCTTTAATCCTCTCTAACTCTATATGCAAATCCACCTTCTCCCACAACCATTTGGTGGACCGACGATGGCTTCCTAGTGGGGATTCTCTTGACTTAGCTATTTTGGCGGCTAATGGGGAGAACTGCTCAAGCTCGTCCAAAAGATGATTAAACAGAGTTGTCTCTCTCGGCAGATCCTCAGAAGGGATCGCGGCAAGGATGTATCTGTACTTCTCCTGGAAGGTTATGAGGTCCTCGGTCTTCTGCCCCTTTAGCCTTAGGGTCAGCAGGTTCCTTTCGCCTAGCATGCCGATTCTGTCCTTCTCTAGTTGAAAATGACGAAAAATCGTGGCAAGCATGACGCGACCACAAGGCATGCCAATACCTGAAAGTCGAGATTCTTCCACCATCCGTTGAAAAATGATACCAAATCTACCTGATTTGCACACCTTCAACATTTTCGTGGCAATTTCCCGATCAGTTCTGGGGAACCGCTTGTCACCACGAAGGGCGGAATCGTCCTTGGTAAGACATTCTTGGGCCCAGTGATACAAGTCTGAACCTGGGGTTTTCTGCAACGAACCGATGTTCATGAGAACCTGGTTGATGTAGCCCCGTGCTTAACCCGAATCAACTGGTATGTTGGGTAGAATCAGGTTTGTCAAGCCCTTGACATAAACAATCTCGGACTCATGTTCCGCATAGTCGGTAATTTCCGAACTAGCAGTCGGGGTTGATTCTACTTTATGATCTTCTTTATTCATAGTGAGGTGTGGGCACCTAATCTCCCGATGCTTACCTCCACACATCCTACACGAGTCTTCTACTTCACTATCACTAGACGAAGATGACGAACTCGGGGAGCTACCACCGTCTGCTTTCTTGGTCCGCTCGAAAACGGGGAAAGAAGGTGGCAAGACCCTTGCTCCTGGTTGTGGTGGAGGTGGTTGCGTCGAAGACGCTGCAACATTCGCGGCGGAAGTGGGATACCCGGCCGGCATCGGAGCACAGGCACAAGGTTTCGGACACGCACTTGGGACCCCAGTCGACAGACCCGGTGGTGGTGTTGGTGTCGTACGAAACGGCAATGGCACTCCATGTTCAGGTGGTGAGGGGATAGTTGGTTGTCCAGCTTGCACTAACGACAAGACTTGGTTCAACATCTCCCTCGTCTGACCTAGCTCACGTTCGAGCGCAGCAACATAAATTGAGTCACGCTGCACAGGGGTGGCAGCACCATGTGGTGTGCCGACAGGCGTTCCGACGTAGAATTCTTGTGGAGCCCTTTTTTGAAAACCCTTTGGAATTTGCATATCGACAGGTTGTGCTGTCGGAGGCATATTGTTATGCTGGGCCGCCTGAAAAGGCGCAGCAAACTCGGAGCTTTCGTATTGGTGGCTCAACGTCGAACGGACGCTGTGAAGCGGTTGTGTTGAGGGCGCTGGAGAAACTGCCGGTGGTTCCTTTGGGGAACTTGGGACTGGCGATCTCGCGGCCAATTGTAGTTGCTGGGTTAAGTAGGCGTTGTGCCTCTGAAGTTCTATCAGTTCGGCACTTGCGGTCGTATTGACCTGGTCTACAAACGAATGCTCATCCACAGGGGCCGGATGGCCTTCGGCTGTGGGGCTATCGAGAGGATGGATCTCAGTGTCGCCGGAATACTCTAGGTCCGTTGGACCGGCGAAGGGCTCTTCAAGCTCGAGGTCTCTGTCTTCGTGCTCAATCACGGAAGGCGGAAAGATGGTTGGGCCTGAGTCAGCCTCCGATGCTGCTGTCCGAACCCGCGCCTGCGGCAGCGGCTGGTGGGTCTTGGTTGTCAACGAACAAGTTCAAAGCATCGACGGCTAATGAACCGAGTTCTGACAAGGACGTCACCTCAACCTCTGCCTCCTCCATGCCAGCTCCTGACGAGTCCGCGCTTAGAGCAGCGGCTTGCGTGGCGGCTGCTGGCTCAGACCTTGGGTCGGGGTTAGGGGCAACACTTGGTCCTAGCGAAGAGCCCGCGCCGGAGGCTGCGGCTTGCGCAGTCTCTGAGCGTGGGGACCTAGGAGGTGTAACCCTTGGCATTGGGCCTAAAAGAGGCGGACTATTAGAGCTCGTAGGTTGGTTAGACCTACGGCTGATAACCCATGAAAGTGACAAGGGTTCCGGGATATCAGCCCCAAACAACCACCACAACCTACGAAGTGGGAGGTGTTCGGAAAGGTACCCGATAGTATGGAGAACCCTGGCACGGGTGGGTACACGACGGGGAGTCCCTGAAGGGTTAGTCCCCGTAGTGTAGTTGAGGGGTGTGCGGACGAAAGGGGGCACAGTACGGCAACCTAACGAAGTGCACGAAAGCGAACAAAGCTTGCACGAGCGAACGCGAGCGAACGGCGTGCGCGACAGCTGAAAAGCACGACGGAAGCGCGCTTTTCTTGAGCCAATACATGTCGGTATGACATGAAGTGTTTGACTGTACATGACGTCCCATTGAATGACAAGTTAGGGGTTGAATCCGTATGGAAAACTTTGACTTTGACGAGTAGTGCTGGCAGGGGATCGCTTGAAGGGGTCGAAAGAAGCAACGTGCAAAGCAAGGATCCGAAAGAAGAATAGACTCAAGAGCTGGTGTTGGATTTTTGGTTTCTGGTACCCTGGATTCATGAGTGACACCACGTTTCACAATTTCTGCTCACCTTTTAGAAAGGCAGGAGGTCTTCGTACCATAGCGCTGCATGTCCCACCCTACCCTTGCAGGAAATCAACCCCGGTCTGGAGATTGTGCAAGCAAGCTTCTGTAACGATAGCCAAGGCCTGCTTGGTCTTTTCGCATCTTGTATTCCTTGGTGCAACATGCTGGCAGCAACCACTGTTTGACATCGAGCCAAACACCAGCACATGGCAGGCAAGGTGCGTCCACCCAGTTATGGGTTTCTTCAAAGACTGTGCCCACCAGGTACCAGGTTGCAGCGATGAAGTGATTCACGAGGAGGAGCAAAAGCTCAGCATCAACGAGCAGTGGCTGCGCCAAACTCATTGGACTATATATGTATATTATATATATACAGTATAGCAGTGTAGCTCAGCAAGATAAGCATCGATATGCGTGCATCATGTCTTTATGCAGATTGATTTGGAGAATGCATGCCCCTGCTTTGCATTTAAGAAGATGAGATAACACAACCAGGCTTCCCACAATCAATTTGCAAATGTTGAGCAGGATGAACACGGCCTCAGAGGTTCGCAGTTGAACAAAGCCTGAGAGGGCTGCTCTTGGGCCGCTCCCAGCAGCACTGTGGGGAGAGGAAAGTAGTGTTCATTCAAATTACAGTACAGTACAGAAATTCACTGATATGTAGGAATGCAGGGTACAGTACCTTTGACCTGCTGCATCGCTGACGTCCTGTGTCATCCTTAGTTGCAATCATGACAATCTGCAGACCTTGTCCCTGCCTCAGATGTAATTCGGTCCTTGATCGTCGCCAATATCCGCTTGAGCTTGACCTCAAAACCCCGCAGGAGCTGTATCGTAATGCATCGATGTGCGGCGACACCTTTGGCCACATTGTGACGAGGCACGAGTCGAAGGAGGCGAACAGTGCGAACCTGACACACGTTGATAGAATCATTCATGTTTATCATTCTAATTCTCTTGATGATGGACACCTTACAGCCTGCAACTTGAAAAAATACATGCAAGAAGAAACGAAAAAAAATACAGTAATTAGGTGTGTCCTCCAGAACAGTCACGGTTGAAGCAATACAACCCATGGCACAGGTCAAACCACGCCACGTTGGCTCTTACGCAGTGGTTTACTCTAGACTCTTACTGAATGCGTGCGATTCTGGAAATTCAGCCAAAAAGCCACTCGCAAAGAGCGCAAAAGGCGGTTGACGCCACCAGGATCTGACGTGAAATCCGTGCTGTAGATCTCCCTGCCATGGTGTCTTGACTTGCAATGACATGCCGGTTACGCAACATCAACCAACGGGCCCTGGAACGCAGTCACAAAGGCAGTGCGGGCTTCCGTTAGGGCCGGGCCGTTAGGGCAATTTAGATTGTGGCGCTGGGCAGCTCTCAAGCAGAGCTGCCCCAGTTCCATGTATATAATTCTACATCTTTCCTTGTCACCTGGCATGATACAAATTAACTTGGTCCAAGTCGCACAAACGTAGACACCCAGTCCGGGCCGCAAACTGCCCTGTGCTGGGGCCGAGGGCGGTGGGGCATGCGGCAGGCACTGGTCAATGGCAGCATTTCTCAAGTGCTCAAACACATGAAAAGGCCATTGCTTCGTCAAGAGTCAAATCCAGGATAAACCATGTTCTCCTGAGCCAACTGCCATGAGAAGGTTGGCCACAGCAAGGTGTCCGTAGATCCGAATAGCACCGCCAAGTTGCATGTAGTTCTTGAAGATTCTCCACGGGCTCGTGACAATAGCGCCTGTATCACTCGAGCTGGACGGGATTCGGAATCGAATGATTGCAGCATTAGGGCCCTTAGAGTCCCTAATGACTAGGGGAAAGTGACACTGCACAGTTTTGTACAGCATCTTGTCTCCTCTATATAATGTTCCCCGCAGCCACCAAATGGCTGCCCGCCTTCACTGACATAGCCCGTGATAAGTGACATCAAAATATCCAATGTCCAGAAAATCTGTGTTGTCCAATCCATCCTAGCGTTCAATGCAAAGGAATCTGTGCACTATGCACCAGCTACTACAGCAAGCAGCACTCAGGCACCGACGTGGTCGTGAACCAATGAGGGTCCTTGGCAAGAGAGTGGAGGATGTGAAAGCGAAATGGAAGGGACAAACAATCTCAGGTTTGGGCTGGATCAAAAGCAGCCAGGGGGATCGTGCAAATGTCCTGAGTTCGGCACTGCGCAGGGGCGGACTGAGCTGACGCACTCCCAATTTCCCGGCACTCAGCCACTCGCGTAGAACAGGAGCAACATACCAATGAGGTCCCACGCGACACCTCAGAACGCCACCACAAGTGCAAAGCATGAACTGACAAGCATGTTACAAGCTGGCCAAGGGGCGGAGTGGATCATTTGGCCGCAAAATGAAGCCACGGGTCTGCTTTTCCAGGGCGTTTTCCTTGCCAACACAAGTTCAACGGATTTGCATCCTAGAGAATACGAAGCGCAGCCACGGCTCCTCCAGAAAGTACTGAGACGCATGGTGTTTGTGAGCCACCCTGTCGCGTGGGTTGATTCATAGATCAGAACAACTTATTCCCTGTATTCCACACACGAGAACTAGAAGAGCCCGAAACATGTACACCCATCCAAAACGCCCAAAACATTGCCCCAGGACATTCTAAGTTCCAGTTCGAGTTCAGTGTAGGGCGAAATATGCTGCCAAGGCCAGAGTTCCAGTTCGATCGGAGAAACTTTTTGAGCGCAGTGCGCCAGTGCGCCCTGGGGAGTTCCAGCTGGAGTTTTCAGTTCGAGCTCCCCATGTTCTTGATTGCTTCAGGGCATCAGGAATTCTAGTAGTAAGCTTCCGTGGTGGGGGTTGGAGGTTGAGTTGTCCAGTTCGAAGTGCGATATGTTCAGCCTGTTGCATCACGTTGTCGAGTTTTAGATTATTCCAGTGCCCAATATATGTAATTACTTTGCATCTCTTTTGTTCATCCTATGGTTGGGTGCTGCGCCCTCCCCGATCCTCTTCTTTCCCCCCTCACTCTGCTGCTTTAACTGTGTCTGGGATGAATTCTTGCCAAAAGTGATCGATCTTATCAGAATAAAATGGGCATTTGAGGGTGTGTCTCAGTAGGTTCTATAGGTGTTGAGTACGGGTGAGCTGATTTGCGAGACGAGAAGCGTTCGTTGATGTTCTCCTGAGAATCTTAAAGCTGAGATTGGCCTTTGCTTCTGAAATGATTCTTGGCAAACACGTCTAAGGGATTCTACGGGACTATATATACATAATGCCATCATATCCGGTTTGAGTTGTTTGGTTTCGACTTCCACGGTTTTGAGGAGCTGGCCGTCCAGTAAATGATGGTCAAAGTACGTGCATATCATATATCAAGCTTTACCGAAAGCAACCCCCTTACTCTGACTTTTGCTGTGGCGGCCTAACTAGAACTAGCACAGCCGACTGGAGGCCTTCGATTCCACCAGAAAATTGCCACGCCACACTACACATGTGCCCACGCTTTCGTCTTTCTTGCTCGTGATGTGGTTCCCTTGCTTTCATCATGCCCCCCGTCCACCTGCCACGTCGAGACTAGCATAGGAGACAAGTGACAAGTGTTTTAACCGAGCACCTTGATTACAGTACAGTATCTTGATTTATCAGCTCTGCGGGTGCCCTTCTAATGTAGCGCAAATAACTGTGGTGAGAGGAAGCTCTCCTGGGAGAAATCACAAACAGGAAGGGCTTGGCTTGGCTCTTTACTCACCAAATCCTGGTCACTTGAGTCCACAACTTTCTGCTGCCTCGGGGGTTGAGCTGAAATTCGGGGCACGCTACGCCTTTCGGTTTGCGGTTTGGGGGCATCTTTCACCACCTGGCTTTGTGGCGGCTACCTTAACTTTCAGCAGAAGTCGCGCACCAGACGGTGTGCTTTTCCATACTCCCTCCCTTCCTCCCTCCCTCCCTCCCTCTCTCCTTCCCTCTCTCCATCCCCCGGGCTGAATGTGCCCCCTGTAGCCAACTTCCCGCCATCGCCCTGTGTCGAATGTTCTGGGAAAGCACCTCATGGTCTCCTCTCTCATTTCTTCCACCATTCGCGTTGGCCTCCTCGGAGTTAAGGCAACTTGCACACACGTTTGCAGCTCAGATGGGGCCGTGTGTCATACCAAGCGTCTGCGATGAGCTCAGCCACATGTCACGCAAGCTAAGGGAACTCACATGGGCCTCAGGTTGCCAGGAGGAGGAGAAAGGGCAAACCACTAAAATACCAATTGGGCTGAAAAATCATGTAATTACAACACGTACTACGACGGCTTCTCAGCTTCACGCATGTTTTCTGCTGCTGGGCAGCCGGACCCTGCTCACAAAAACTGTTCCAGCAAATGAGGTTAGCATCACCAGGAATAAATCTCTATAACTTTCCTTTCCAAGACTTCGTCGACCAAGTTCATCTCTATGCAGGCTGAGCTCCGTTCTTCCTTGGCTCCTTCTCAAGCACCTGGCACGCAAACCGCTATACATATACATCCATGTGTACAGACTTGTTTGTTGTCATTGGTTCAAGCAGCTCACCGATGCGTTAAGCTGTGATAAGCTTGATTTGGTGTTTGGCGATATTTCTTGTGCTGAGCCTCTTGATTGATTCGCTCCTTTGGGATCTCCTGTCAAATCAATGTTTCGCCACGCTCTTCCTTCCTTTTTGTTCATGAAGGTGTACCAAGTCTGGCCTCTTCGTTGCTGCCTCTTTCTGATCCGTCCTCAGGTCTTTATTGGACTGCCGGCATAAGCTACCTGCTGCTGCTGCTTCTTCCTCCCCAACTTGGCCCAGGGCATCCTTCACGTCCGATGTCCCAACTTCCTTACTGTGATGCTTTACTGGGACAAAAATAGGATGGGCGACGCATGGGTGACAAAGCGCACCTCAATTCCTGAGGTGGTCTGTGACAGGTGGCGAAGCTTGCTCCTTCGAAAGGTAAAGGAACTTGAAAACTAAAGGCCTCTGAAATATGATGGACAAACACAAGGTGGTGTGAGACCGTCCTCAGTTTCACGATTTCCTTGGCCAAATGCACAATCACCATTTGTATACATCCAATCTCTTGCTGGTGACTCTAATTATCTAGTTACTCTAATTCAGTAAACCTCTTCTGACACGTGGCCCTCTCTTGGGCTTCACCAACATGTGCCAGCTGCTGAAGCAACCATGTAAAGGATTTGGGCCTCAGGTGGGCTGAGTAGGCTGAAGCAAGAGAATGCCAAAGGGATCAAATGATAGGACCCAGGACCAAGCAGGATAATGTGCAAAGGCAACAATGAAAAGCATCGACAATGACTTCGCAAGTTTGTTCAAGTGAATCATGTGCCTTATTTACTTGTTTGTTTTCGTCCAATTCATGCCGCTCCTAGCGTCTGACTGAAACCTTTTTTGTTCATTAGTGTTCTCATTTGTTCACTCGTTCGCCTCGTCATCCATTCGAATGTCCAATCTGCAAAAGGGGTCGAGCTCTTCAAAGCTTACGTCTCAGGCAGCGGCTCTGCGTCAGCCCTTCGCATACTTTCCTGGCAGCTGGCGAGTAAAGCCAACTGAAGATCTCGGTTCACATACCCAGCGCCTGCCTTCCCACGTTGGCAACAACGGTGACCAAAGGAGCTTGAAGGAGAGATGTTATGAAACTTGTTCCTGTCTCTCGTCACGTGCTGGCCGTCTGTAGATTCAAAACATGTATATGATGATTGCCGCAGGTAAGCCCTCTGAATCTGGACATTGCATGATCATCAGGAATTCACTCTGATTGGAGCCAGTGGCGGCAAGATTCACACGAAGTCAACTGGTCCAATCCTGAAACAAATCGTGATGCGTGAAGCTTTCCCAAGAACTTGGAAGTGAATATAGCCCCTGCCGTGCCTGGGCTATTGGGCCAAAAGGCCCCAATACACCCAAGCCCCGCAAAGCCAAAATGGGCTAGCAGCAACGATAGTTTTAGCACTTCTTACATCTGCCTTCCCATATCTACTGCATTCTAATGATTCTAATGTATTTGCATGTATTTGCTATAACATTTTTTTCCAGAAACACATGTGATCACTTTGCCGTGACATACACCTATAGCCTAAACATGTATGCAAGGAGGTAGCGACCTCCGCAAAGAGCTTCAAGAGCTAAAGGTGCACTTCATCCGGGGTGGGCACCGACAACAAAAAGGAGCGCGCATGTGCAGCCCAGCAGCGTCCTCACCTGACAGCCGCGCAAAAGTGCGAGCAATGTATATAATCAACTTTTCATGCTGCTCATGCACTTCGTGCCCCTGGGCCATCAAACTGCATTCAATCATCATTCATGCCAGCGCTATTAGGTTGGAGGCCATCGCTAAAAGGTTTGAGGCGATTGCGTCTGTGAGAGCGTTTCTTATTTACCAAGAACTCAAGAGGCCTGGCAGGCCCGGCACGCCCAGACTTCTGTGCAAGCTGACTCGACCCTGCGGGTTGGACAAATCAAAATAAGAAATTCTGAGGGAATCACCAGAAAAGTTGTTGCCAACAAACTCAATTCAGTAGAGGTGGAGTATCCGGTTTTCCGCCCTGCAGGATGCAGCACTTCGATCTATGTAATGGTGCCCGCGATGCACACAGCATCGCTTGGGCGAAAGATTTGGCCATTGCAGGGGCGATGAGCCATTCAACCAAGTCTTCAAGTTGCAACCCATCAATCGGCATTTCCATATCCGCGATCCTTCTGGGCCTCGGTGCACTAGTACATCTTCCTATTGCTACTTGCTACTGCACATTTTTTGGGAGGTCGCTAAGACCAGCTCAGCTCAAGCCAATGCACTTCTTCCTCGCACCTGTCTTGAAAAGCTGAGACTTGAAGCCCTGTCCGCAAAGCGCGGTCTATTCTCAGCTGTGATCCGCACATTCACCGAAACGGATGAAGATGAAGTCACCCGACCTCGCCAAAGGCACTGCAAACGAAAACCGCAAGGCCGCAAAGCGGCCTGCAATGCTTGATTTTTCGCATAGCAAGCCCACACTCATTGATTGACACACACATAAGTTTCCCTAAACACCTAGGAAGCGAATCATTGAATCATTGGTACAGGCGCTATCCTGCGTCCAAGGTAGTAGCGTTCTTGTAGCTCCTAGCTACTTATATAGCTCCTAGTAGCTACCTACCTAGCTACTACCTACCTCCTAGCGGCCTACCCCCCCTAAAAAAGGAAAGCAGAAATAATGAAAGCATCTGAGCCCTGAGTCGCTTCAGTCAAAAATGTGCCAAGTACAAGGCATGACGTCCGGAGCATTCCATGAGGAACCTCTCATGAAGCTGCTTGGCCTAAAGGATCAACCAGTTCCGTCCAGCATGTTCTGAGGAACATGACATCCTAGCTTGACACAGGCGGAAGTTGAGGAAGTGTTGCCGCCTTTTTCCAATCTCTGCACAAGGTTGGGATGCATCCTAATCAACTATGGAAAACACACGCGGGAGGCACAGTTGCAGGCAGCGGCTTTAGAGTGTCCAACACGTCACACTGAGTCTCATCTGCCAATCCAACCGGCCAACCCATTCTGGGGTGTTGCCTTGGCAAAACTAAGTAGTAGTTCTACAATTCCCTTTAGAGGAGGGCATATGAACGCTCTGCAAATAGAACCCAATGAGCCAATGAGCTCCGGTCGGCAAACTTGTTACCTGCCAACCAAATACTGAGCAGAGTAGAAAACAGCGTGCATCGCATCACTGCGCATTGGATCAAAAATGGATCACCAAAGAGCACCAAGGAGAATCTTGCCCTAGCGGCCCTAGCGGCCCTAGCATATGAGTGGATACAATGAGTCTTCAAAACTCTATGTACTAGAAAACATGTAAAGGTTTCGGTGTCAATGACTGCGACCTGCTTGAGTGATCAAATCGGCAGGTCAAATGCCGGCTCATGTGTTTGCCTCGAAAATCCTGTCCTACAACACAAGAAATGATAAAAATGGTCTGATGTTCCATCAGACCGGGGAACCAATGCGGTTCATGCTGGTGGATTTCTAAATCGTGCAAAAGCAAAAGTTTTCCGAAATAAGAACAAAGAATTCAAACAAATCTCACACCCAGGCTTGTTGTCTGAGCGTGCTCATTCCAGCAAGGTTGCGTGGGTCTCGCCAACTGCCTGCGCGTACGTGTGACATGTTTCACTACGCCACATGTCTCTGCAGGAGGTTTGGAGATGAAGTCGTTCTCGCTAGGTCTACGCAATGCAAATGCTGCTAGTTTGTCACGAGTGCGTCAATCAGTTGCTAGTTTGAGGTGTTCCCGTTTGTCTACTTTGATGGGGGCCTGCCGCTCAACAATGCCCCGACTGGCAAGAGCGTGCTCTTGTCGAAGTGCAGCGTCCACACACCGTTCATCTTGCCCTTGCACTTCGCTTGTGAGTTGCAGTCCTGAAACCTCCCGTGGTTCCTGTGCGTGAGCATCAGGCTGTAGATTGTGAATCTCTGGGGTCACCAGCTTCTTGGTCTCTTTGACTGGCTTCGGCAGGGTCAGCGAAATGCTGAAAGGCAGCGTTGGCGACCCTTTGGAGCTTTTCCTGGACTTGGGTGACTTGGGAGACCTTGGTGTCCGCTTGGGCGAGCCCACAGACTTCCGGCTCACTGACTTCAACGCCATTCCTTCTTTGTGCCAACGAAGCTTCCCGTCTTCGTCAAAGTTCCCAGTGGCCTCAAAAAGGAATTGCTAAATAGTGCTAAATGCGCGCTTTTGATCAGAATGCCGTTAGCTCAATCTCAAATTTCAAAGTCCCCACTCGGCTGAAGTCTTATCATGACAACTCGTGCTGTAACATTCCGTGCCTGGCTGTCACACGGATCAAAACTGCTTGCCCCCTGCACTGGGAGTTCATAGGTCAGGGGGATGGGTGTGGATGGCAGAGGAAGCTTTCTGAAAAAATGTCTGCCACTGGCACAACGGCACAACATCTTTTCCCATTTCCAAACATGTAACAGCTGATATCTTGCGGCACTTTCTCACACATCACCTCTTGGAAATGCACTAGTTGATAGCTTGGCTCGCTTGTGCATGTTCCTCTCATCGGTTCCTTGCACAATCTCCCTTCAACATGCTTTCCTCATTTCAATGTGATGGCCAGAGCCTGGATCCTTTAGACGAGGAAAGCGACCCTTTATAGATTGGTCCTTGGATGGCCTGTGGTTCTCTGCTATCTGACTGCAATCTTGGGAGAAGTAAAAGTATAATGTGTGTATGTATGTGTGTGTGTGCTTCCTGTTGCTCGCATCTCATTTTGTGTGCACGAGGCCTTCATCACCATCTGCTCCGAAGCCGCAGGTTTTGGAAGTTGCGACACAAAGGACGCAGAGCGGCAGGAAGAAAACGATTCTCGCTCTGACTTCCTCCCCGCTGATTCCTCAGAGGGTGAATGTGAAGATCTCTTGCCTGCTGACTCCTCTGAGGGCCACAATGAGGATCTCTTACCTCCTGACTCCTCTGAAGGCCATGGAGCCTTTTTTGGCCCACCATCCTCCGACTGCCACACTTCGCCGGCAAAAGCCTTCGAACCAGACCTGGTAGGGAAATGCATGGCCCAAATACATTGGAAATGCTGTCTAGGCATGTCTAGACTCTAGACTCTACCATTGGACGAAAAAAAGACAAGCAAAGCAGCACCAACAACACTTGGGGGTTGCCCAGGCAAAGAAGCAATGAGTTGCCCAAGCCTGCCAGCCCAGAATCCAGACCTTGCTCTGATGTTCGGTCAAAAAACATCGCCTCGGACCTCTTCAGTGTGCCACCCTTCCTACTTGCAACGCTGGCACGGAAAAGGATCAGTTTCCCCATCAAACATGCAGCCAATAACGTGTTCCGCATTTCATGCCCTTGGCCTTTCAGCTGCCCAAAAAAGAAAGAACTATATAGAAGAGCACTGAAGAGCACCACACGTTCCGGCAGCCAAAATCCCTGAACATGACCAGCACGGTGCTCCCTTCAAATGCACAAGAGATGCAAGGAACGGTTCACGATGCAAACAATTGAAAACAGTGCATTGTCCCCAATACGCAATGAGAGCTAGCATCAGTGTTGAATGTGTTTCTTGCTTTCTTGGGCCAAGCTGTTGAATTCCGCTGGTGGTGTTGGCGAATTAGCACGCTCACTTGAGCGCAGTGGACTGCTGGCGACTGCTACTGACTGTGTGACGCTGAGTTCGTTTTTTGCAGGCTTCTTGTTCCTAATAGCTTCTCGCTCCTAGTAGTAAGGCCAGGAGCCCCTAGTAGCGTCCATGCTCCTAGTAGCGATGCCCTTTGCCCCTAGTAGCGTTGGATGGGCTTGTTGGATGGGCTTGGCCCGGTTGCACGGAAATCCCTCCACACCCAAGCCAGGCGAAAAGGCACGTACTGCCCTTGATGATCACAGAGAAACCAACAGCTTGACAGCCCCAAAAATACCACAAAGCAGCTGCCTTGTAGTTGCAGAGGGCTAGCAGTCACAAAGTGACGCTGCACGACTTACACTATTCTTGCCATATTTAACCAGGGACCGCATCCCTTTCCAGGATCAATGCTGGCCCCCCTGTCTGTTGCTGTAAGTGCCGAACACAGAAGAGACGCTCGAGAAGGCACTACCAGTACTGAGCTTGCTTCTCTGCCGCCCTTGGCATTTGGATGCATTCGGTTTGCCCACACACTCTGACAGTCTTTCATTGGTCGCTGCCAATGGACTATGCTCAGGGTGGCACAACGTGAGTTCAGGTCGGGAGGGCTCAAAGGGCTGGCAGGGCTGCCGGGACTGCCCAGGTCGCTCTCGCTTTCGGCATCCTGTCAACCATGTTCACTTGCGGAAAACTCACAAAGTAAGTAAAGAAAGAACACTTGGCAGGTCTTGCAGTGCTTCTTCTTCCGAAGTCTCCACTGTTGTGCGTGTGGTGTTGTGCAAGGTTGCTTTCTAGTCCGGCCTGGTGCTGCGCAACAACAATCTTCCAGACGTCTCGCAACCTGTGGCTGTTGGCAAGTGGGTTTTCTTTGCTCCTGCCGCGGGCATACACGACATGCACATGGCAAGGGAGCTTGGCACGTACAACAGGAGACTTGCTGATCTTTGGTCCTCTTTGGCGCAGCTAAAGGCTCTCTCCCTTTTTGTGCGTAAGTCTTACCAAGTCAAGAGCGCGACTCAATTGAACAGTGCACACAACGGGAGGGAGCCTCTATCAAAAAAACATAAATTGTCAAGTCTCCTGCTGACTGACACTCTCTCTCTCTCTCTGTCTATCTCCATTGCCTGGCTATGGCCCTCATTTTAGAGGATACGTGGAGCGATAGCGAAGGACAAGGAATGGAGCGGAAGTGAAGTTGAAAGGCGAGAAATTATTTTGCACTTCTCGCGGAGTCTGCTCTACATGCGAAACAGAGTCTAAGTCCAGGCGACTTTCCACTTAGGAATGTGGCCCACTGCCTCATAGCACCAGTCTCTTGTAGAATAGCGTTTTTCAAAACACTTCTTTCGAAAAAAGGCCTTCTGAATTGAATGTCCAGTGAGCGTAAACGAGAGCATCCGAAACAATACTGCCTTAAGAAACATTTCTTTTGACACAATTTGAGTGTTCAAGGAACCGATTTCATGAACTTCATGCAAGCTGGGCCATGTCTTTGTGTTCTACAGCTCTCTGTCCTCTCCGAGGTGGTTCTCAGCAAATGCTCAGCCTTTGAATCTGGATCACGTCTCTTCGAAAGTGGGAGCCACAGGATCAAATTGTTGTTACTGGGCCAGTGTTGCCTCTTGATCCAAAGGTCAAATCTTTAAAAGCATGTTTACATGTTTCCTATGTATATGCCAGCCAGATACACTGTTGAACCGTCAGAAACGAAAGCATGCCATTATATACATGCTATTACTCGGAGAAAGCATGACTTTTTCTCGGCCTCATCTTCGAAAACGAAGCTTCTCTGCTGCTGCAGAGCCGCTCTCACCTGTCAGGCTCAAAATGACAGTTTCACTAAAGCGAAACGCGTGCTTTGAAAAAGCTTCAAGCCCCATGGCCGTCGTTTCCAGCGCCCCACGGCCTGGGGCTTTGCTTCAATCGATCCTCCAAATGTTGGGTCTTTGAAGAGCGGCTGCCAGCGCTTAGAACGACAAGGAGCTTCAGGCACGGAGCCCGGCAAGTTGACATTCACAGTTGCGGCGGTGGACGGTGTCACAGCTGCAGCTTGTGCTGCTGCAGCTGCAGCTGCTGCGGCTGGGGCCTCCTAAGTGCAAAAAGGTGCTGGGCTTTGGGCACAACACAACTGGGCTCTTTGTGCCCCATCTTTCTCCAGCTGAGTGGCCAAAAGTGACCCACTTTCATGCGTCAATTTGCCATTGCTTTTGGGTTTCTTTGTGTCCTGAAGTTTGGTCAATACTCTGAAAATTCCAGAGGATCAAGGAACAATGCAGCCAGCTGTGGTCCTTCTTCTCTCGTGAAAAGAATAGTGCGGATGGAAGGCGCAATAACATGGCATCGGGAATTGGATGGAACCAACCAAGTGATCTACTACCTGAACCACATTCCCAGATACTTCTCCGCCAGTCTACTGTACAGTTGCTATCCTAAACAAGTTGTTGTAAGCATGGCTGGAAGTTTGCCTGATAGGTTGTCAGCTTTGCTGAGACAACCCCTTGAACCGAAGAGCAGGGTTGTATACCTGAAAAAGGAATTGTAGAATCAAATGCAACGGCCTTGAAACTAGAAAAGCTGACCAGACTCAAGTGCAAATTCCCAAGCTGACAGTGCTTGGCTTGCTGCCACTTGTTTCTTCACCTCTGCAGAGGGGACTGACCTGAATGGACCTCAGACAAAGCAGAAAATATGCCAAAAGTCCCCCACATCTGAGTCAAGCCCCTTCGACTTTCAGCTGCTGGCCATCCTGACACTCCTCCAAGGTCATCAAAGTCGGGGGCAGTCGCAGGGCTTGCCTTGGATGCGGTAAAGTGTTCCATTGGTGCAAAAACACCGACATTCTGCCACGCTACGGGGGCAAAGGCTTGCCGCTTGGGTTATACTTGAACGTATACACCATGTCTTTGTCTGCCTCGGCCAAGAAGTGGATCAGCCCAAACTTACTGCATCGATGTGTCTGAGTGGCTTCACTCGCTGGGCATTGTAGCCCTCGGCCTGGTCTGGTCTTCGGATCACGTCTCGCCTCCGCAGAACTGTGTCACTCAACATCCAGCATGGCAGCTTAGAACGACTGTGTACCACAGAAACTGCCTACAACAAACATAGTACCTTGCAGGTGCGTTTGGATGATGGGGAGGGTCGGGGAAGTGTTCAAGGGTGATACCCTTTGTGACAACAGATCAAGCCCAAAAAGAAGCCTGCATCCTGCCTATCTCCATAGGATCGGCTGTAACGGTGGAGGTTCCACTGCAAGAAGGGTACAGTTTCAACCTCATTAGGCTGACAGAGTGGCTGAGAGTTGGCCCGCTACACGCATAGACTGGTCCAGATGCATGACGTGGGCTCTGCAACAGTTCATGCAATCCACATGACACCTTTGTTACTCAACGATCAGCTCTCCAAAGGGGATCGGGCTTCTTTGGCTCTCGTCATCTTTGGGATCATGCTTCAAAAATTGGTCAGCAAGAGGACTCGCTTCATGAAGAACCAGCGTGGATTGACCTGTTTTGCTAGATTCAGTTGGGAGGTCAGGGCAAAGGAGCGCAGACACTGTCAGAAAGGCCACCGACATTACCATGTCCTGACAAGAAGCAGTCAAACGAAAACTCAGGGCACTACGCATGCGCTTTGCAAAAGCCACAACCAATCCAAAGGATATAATATATATATATATACACACACCTACATACATATACATAGGTATACATATATATATCCCGCCGGGTTACTTAAGACAGTGAGATGTTTGTGAAAATCACATAAAATCACAAATGTTCTTTGATGGTTTGTTTCTTGAGAAAACGAATTGTGTCTGTTGATTGTTGACAATAAACCACGACGTCACTAGCCCACCAACCATCCCAACACGCCACGTGCGTGCATTGAACATAAAACCTGCTTTGCACAAAAGTTCTAAAAAGTTCTGACAAGAACATGCAAGTGTCCCACTATTTCGTGGCGTAGGAGAGGATCTAACGTATGGGTGTGCACTTAGAACCGAACGTTACCATCTCCACCCATCCCAACCCATCCCACCCCGCCCCACCCCAAAGCCAGTCGCATTGTGCAGCGTAGCGTAGAAAAGTTTCTAACGTATGGGTGCGCACGTAGAACCGAACGTTAACATCCCAACCCATCCCACCCCACCCTGCTCACAAACAGCTTTCATGTATTTTTAAAATCTAAGGTTAGATGCATAAAAATTCCAGACGGGTTTTTAAGACATGTGAGTGTGCAAGTGCACAAGACAACATGTGTGTGCAACACAACACGCACGCAAGCATCTTGCCCATCCACCCACCCGAACCCCCCCCCTTGAGATACACATGTGCGCGCAAGACAACATGCATAAGTACAGGCGAATGTGCGACAAACCCTCGGAAAAAAAAAAAATTAACAGTTCTGAAGTCGTAACCCCACTGCGCCTTACATAAAACGGATTTAAAAAAGGAACGCGAAAGAACGCGTCTATTTCGCGCCAACTTCGAAAAAATGCTACGCACGCAAGTTACATATAAAAGTACACGTGAGGCAAAAACACTATATTGTCTCAAGTAAACCCGTGTGGATACATATATATATATATACATTATAGATATAGATGTGTGTAATGCCCAGAGCGCAGTCCTCATGCCCATAAAGGGTACGGAAGCACTCTGCGCTCGCTGCATCAAAAACACGGGCACTGCAATCAGCTGAGGCTGTCAGCACCCAGGCCCCGTCGGGAGAGAAAACTGCGGACCATAGAAGACCTCAAAGTACTTCAAATCCTGTTTGTTCTGATGTGTTTTTCTTCGGGCCTTTAGACTTTCTTTCTTTCCTTGTTAGATTATGTTAGATTCTGTTGTTTTGGTTCACATGACTTCATGCTTGCATACAGCTGAGGGAAAGCCGTGCCTGTGTGGCCGCTAAAGGTCCTTGCTTCGGAGCTTCTGTAGAAAGCGCAGCTATATAAATCTAAAGCACACTTACCAGGAGCGGTGCATTTCTTTCATCTCCTAGCTTCGACCCACTATGTGATTCTGTCCTCTCGCAACGGCCACTCTTCAAGTCGAAGAGCTTGGCAGTGCAGTCATCCACAGCTGCCACTATCTTGTCTCCGTCAGGGGAAAAGGAGCTCGAACGTACGCAGCCTCCATGCCTTCTGCAGAAAATGCAACACTTCATCAATTCATCACCCCCAAAACACATTAGGCCAAACCTCGCGCGGCCACCTTTGAAGTTGAAGTGATAAAGACACCACATGTCGGCTGACTGAGTGTCCTTCCTTCTGAAGTCTCGGATGCATTCACCACTGATTGCATCGAAGAGCCGTGTCACACCATCAGCACAAGCGGTGAGGATGCTCCTGAGTTTGCCATTGCCAGAGGGGGGACATCGACAAGCTGCTCTCTTAGACAAGCATCTCTCCCTTCGGGCAAAACCTCGCCTCAGAGACCACTGATTAAGCTCTTAGGAAAAGCAATCCAATGAAAAAGGAACACATTCTGAGAGGAGTCAGCACCTTCAAAATGCACTGCCGCTACCTTCATTTTGCAAGCAGGTTGCGGTATGAACCCATCCAAAATGCCCTCGAAAAACCTTCTCACACAAACCACTCCGCACATCGTGCAGTTGCGCTGTACACTCTTTGGATGCAACCACCACCTTGGCCGCACTGCAACACGTTTGCGCACACATTCTGAAGATTTGAGACTGTATTTGTTCTCAACCGGACGCAGCATTAGTCATTAGACATGACCGAAAGGAAAGGAAGTTGCCTTCTTAAGATCTATGCAGCTCGAGTCTCCTTGCGAGCATCAGGTGAAAATGCTGCAAAAAGAGCGTTGCATTGCCTCGGCTAGCGGCGTTGCAAATGTTGGACTCCACTCTTCACAAAGAAGGGGCCAGTGTTCTCCAGACAAGGTGTTGCCTCTTTCATCCAGCCAACCCGCTTAAGCGCACAGGTGGGCCATTGCCAGCAATCAGGTAGACCACTCCCAAGCAAACCAACAAAACCAGCTTGGCATCGTGTGAAAGTACAGCATGTTGGATTCCCTGGGCGACATGAGGGACGAAGACTGCGGTTTGGGGACAAATTTTCAAACTTAGTGGCTTCGTGAAGCTCATCGTGTAGTTTTCTTGTGGTGACTCTTCGTGCTGCACTTTCGCTAAGAGAATGAGGTCTTTGAAAAAGTGGGCAGCCCAGGGCCGCCAGCCGTAGCAATACGGAATGTTTAGGGACCTCACAGCACCACAACCTGAACTTAACCTGCGCGCATCTTACTAGCCACAGAAAGGGCGGATATTGCAAACAGTGATCCCGGTGCCTTCCGGAGGTGATTCACCATGACACCAATTGAGTTGCGAACACGCCTCCTGTCCTTGAAGGTGTCACAGTAACAAACTCCTTTAGCCGATTTGGTCCGGGATAGTTAGTCTTCCCAAGTGCCCTCTTCAAGATCGAACAGTCCTTGTCGCAGTTTGAAAGCTGCTTCTCCGCCAACTGTCGATTAGACATGCAGCTCTCTGTAAAATCAGAGAAGTGGTAGAGTTTCAAGAAGGGTTCAAAAAGGACAGATATATCAGATATGTGGCTTCCTCATTGCAACGACAAACATTGTATCTAAGTACCAGGCCCAGCACGTGCCCAAGCAAGTGTTCTCAGAAAACCTTGCGCCAACCCGGAAAACCAATGGTCGCCCCTCGGGCGTAATTTATGCGTGGCTTCGTGCCGAAACCCCACGAGGGTTACCGTTTTTGAGTGCAGTTTTGTGGCTTGTTTTTTCCTCAGATAGCGCGAGCAATTGAAGTTCTTACTTCAAGTATAGGAAGAGCTGCATGTGTGCGTATTGCAGTGTGCTGCTGGTGCTGCCACAAAAGTATTTTTGATATCTGGGGCCTCTGCTGGCGCAATGTAGTTTTTTCCAGAGAACACCAAGTGTTCGGAAAGTTTGTGTTTTGGTGGTTTTCAGTGCCACCGCCGCAGTGTTTTCTCCTCACTTCGAACGTTGCGCATCGTCCTTGAGATGGTACGGTTCGGTAATGACATCATGTCTGCCAAAAACTTCTGACAACGCACAATTCGACAGCGAACGTGCTGTTTGACCTGAACATGCACAAGTCTGGCTGAACCGTTTCAGACTCTGGTTGACCCGAACATGTAGGGCTCTGGTTCATGAAGAACATAGAGTTAACAGGTTAATGTTGAGATATGTATCAGCTATATCGGAGCGGGGGCGGAGCGGTGGAGGCGCAACAAGAGGACAAGGGTGAGAGAATGTAAGATAAGATATTCGTCCAAATCACATCGAGTCCGCGCTTGAAGACCTCAAGGAAAACTACGGTGAGCACTGAGCACTGAGCACGGACTTGAAAGATTCAGTGAAGCCGCCCCATGCAAAGTGTTAATGAAACGAAGCTCAAAAAATCAAACGTAGGAAGGACCGTGGCAGAAAATAGACAGACCCATCCAAAAAGTCAGAAGACCCCACCCGACCCCATGTTCTCACAAAGCAAAACAGTTCTGAAAAAAAAACCTTGCGGAAAAAATGATTCATAACGCCCGCTACCTGACAAACATGCCACACGCCCTCCAGGTATGAAAGCCTAAGAGTTCCAAGGAAATTATGTATTGCGGTCTGAACAAGAAAACCTCCAAAGCCCCAGCGATCACGAAGTCCGCGACAAAATGACGGCGAATGTGCACATCTGCAGAGCTCGTTAGCACTTTGCATCACCTGATGAACCTAGAAACAGCCTGAGCGAGGGGAACCATTGGAGTCAATGTGTTCAGAGCAGGTACGTCGATTTGGCGTCCCAAATCGGTTTGGCAGATGCAACACTGGCGTCTTCGTTGGTACCAAGTCCAGTGTGCACCCCTGGCCCAACGGATTCCCTGTGACTCCAGGGTTTCACACTTAGACGTTCATCCAGTGCCAGAATCCACAGGGAAAGCAACGCTGAAACGGAAAGGTGGCTGAGTCCGCGGAGTTGAAGGTATTACAATAAAGTGTATCGAAAAACATCTTAGTTACTGAATACTTAGCGGTCCCGAATTACGGCCGTGCATAATGGGTTAAGTTCCATCTGGAAGCGAGACCAAAGGAATCGCATCAAATAGGGTAGAAAATAGCTAGAAAAGGAAATGAAGTTTCCATTTTGTAGTTAGGGGCCAAGACTTGCAAATCGCCCCATTAGAGTAGAAAAGGGTCAACAGAAGGAAAGGAACCGACGCACAAGTCCGCCGAGAACCATTTCCTTCTGTAGCAGTGCAGGTACGTGGAAATGGCGTCCCATTTCCACATCCTCAGATACACCGCCAGCTTCGTTGACCAGGCACGGCGCCGCATAGCGGCGCTCACTCCTGCAAAAACTTGAATAAGTCAACAAGCCATAGAAAAAGAAAAAGAAAAGGAAAAGAAAAAAAAAACAACAAAACGAAGAGGGCAAGAGAGAAAGATAGGTGTAGGGGCGTGCATGTCTGCCGAACGAGCTGCAAATTACGTGCGCAAAACCTGAATGGCCTCCTGACAAAGCCTTAGAAAAGAAAGAAAGACAGAAAAAACAGAACGAAAAGGGCAAGAGAGAAAGATAGGAGTAGCAAAAAAAGCTCAACGTGCGAAACTGAGGGGCAGGGAGACGAGCCTCAAGAACAACCTAACAAGCCTGAAGAAACACCTAACAAACGAAGAAACTGCAAGAAGGAAAGGGGGGAGGGGTGGGGTTGGGGTTCATTCTCCGTAAGCCCGGCGGCATTCAATCCGTGAGCCCAGCGGCATATGGTTCAGTTGATTCATGGGTGAAACATGGTGAAAAAAAGGGAATCCAAAACCATAATCCAAGAATGCAGAAACGCTAAGTCGATACGTGATTCACGATGGCGTCGGCACCGCTCTTGCAACAGGATCACACTGTGCACCTGTGTAGGAAAACATTGCGAGTCACACTTAGACGAGGGTTCATCCAGCGCCAGAATCCACAGGGAAAGGAATGCTGCAACGGAAAGGTGGCTGAGTCCGCGGAGTTGAAGTTGCTTCAATAAAGTGCTTCGAAAAACATCTTAGTTACTGAATACTTAGCGGCCCCGAAATACGGCCGTGCATAGTGGCTTCAGTTCCATCTGGAAGCAAGACCAAAGGAATCGCTTCAAATAGGGTAGAAAATAGCTAGAAAAGGACATGAAGTTTCCAGTTTGTAGCTAGGGGGCGGGACATGCAAGTCGCCCCATTAGAGTAGAAAAGGGTCAACAGAAGGAAAGGAGCCGACGCACAAGTCCGCTGAGAACCATTTCCTTCTGTTTCTCTGGATAGCACTGCAGGTACGTGGAAATGGCGTCCCATTTCCTCAGATACATCGCCAGCTTCGTTGACCAGGCGACGATGTATCTGGCCTGGTCCCCTGCTTGTGGGTTAAAAAGGAAATTAAACTCCTGGAGACGGAGTGGGACACACACTTATAGAAATGCATACGGGTACCCAAATCCTGAACAGCTCAGGCAAAACCCAAAGGATCGCCCGAAAAAACACATACCTCCTGCGATGCCGTCGAGGGACCCATACCAAAACGAACCCCAAGACCTGTGACACCCACCTTCCAAGTGTTGAGAAGCATAGCAACACAGCAAGCAAAGAAAAAACATCAACCCTTCAAGCATCAAGCTAAATCTGCATCAAAGAGCCTCCAAAACATCTGAAGACATGACATAATCCACTTCCAAAACAACAAATTCATCATGGGTCAACACTGACCACTTTAGTCCCGTTGCATAGTTTTGGGAGCTTGTTGGGACTGAGACTCCGACAGTTTGGTGCTAGGTTTTTCTTTGATCGTGTTCGATGTGTTTAGACCTATTTCCGTTTTTTGACCTGCTTCACCAGTCTGTAATGCAAAGGAGCATACACCAAAGACTACAAAAGCCAAGCTAATGCGACCTCGAAATCGACCGTTTCAGGGCTGACCAACCTTCCTTGCTTCACCCGGCCTCCTCCATCTCTGGCCAGGAAAACCGTCGAAGACATCGCCCACTTGTGGTGGAAAATGTGAACATGCTTCCAGCTGTGGCCAGGAGAAACATCTTCCCGTCCTCCTCGATGCAAGCAACCAGTTGAACAAAAGCAACTACGGTCCGCTCAGCATCTGCGCCAAGCGTCAGTGACAGACACCGAGTTGATAGAGCCTTCGTCGCGGTCCATGTCCGGAACGAATGTCTTTTCGCACTCGCCTTCAAGGGGAGGACAGCATTCGATTAACAATTCTAGTCTTTCACATCTTTTGAACGTATTCTACCTTTGAACTCCTCATCCCACCTGACTCCACATCGAAGAGCTTTGCCGTTCCATCTGCTGAAGCGCTGAGGACCTGCAGCCAAACAATCGAATTGTGCTGGTACTCCTGGCATTGGGCTACGACATGGCCTTGCGTGGTGCCTCGAGCAAAGCAACAAGTGAAGCTCCGGGTTCCAGCAGCCCAAGACTGGACACCTGCAAAACATGTTCACTACGATGGCTGCAACTGAGAGCTCTTTGGCCTCGTGCTCGCCATCCAGCTCATGTCCCTGAAACCTTGCACAGACCACAGAAGGAATACTGCATCTGCAAGGTGTGACATGAGAAGAAGGTGACCTAAGTTTGAATGAAGTTTTTGATCGGCAGCCCTGAAGTCAATTGGCACGAATCTGTGCATACAGCACTTGGCAATATAGTCTGCAACAGCGCCACGACGAGACCACTCCAATCAAGAAACCAAGGAACACAAGGCGCAGCGTTGGCACCACCAAACTATTGGAGTAAAATTTTGCAGCTGAATCTTTGGCTTTGCGGATGGTGTCGCCTTCCTCGGTCACTCCAGGCACGACCAATGCCAGAAAAGATTGATGCAGGCATCCTACTGCAGCTTCCAGACGTGTGAGCTTAGAGAAGGCCCCGGATCGTAGAACTGTCTGAGCTATTCCACCCGAGCCCCCAATCTGTTCCACAATGATGATAAATTAGATTTATAGTCCTATACAGTCTAGCTCGCGTCTGTCATGGGAACGTGCAAAACCAGTTGGAAACCTGAGGCAGAGCCGGTGGGTGATGGGGTGTGATGTAGTGGAAACTCGCTTTGCGTTGATGTGAGGAACCTCCGAAAAGTACGACTTCACAACCGGAAGCTGCGTAGCTGGTAAAAACCCACCACATCGCCACCAGTGGAACGGAGTGCTTCACCACCGGTAGAAACGTGCCACTTCCAGGTGGAAGGGTATCACTTCGACTTCATCACTGGTACAAAAGCACCCTTCATCACCAGTAGAAATGCCCAACCTGTTGATGTTTGTCTCTACACATCTCTACTGCTGGGCACTTTCTCTCTTAATCTTTGCTCAGAAATCCTTGCTTTGAGCAGCATTCTGCACCTTTCTCTGGACATCTCCGACTTTGGCAAGTCTTCTCTAGAAAGCTCTACTTTCTGTGAAGACTCTACTTGCCCTTTCTATAAGAAATCTATATAAATCTATGCTGTTGTCATATGGTTTAAGAAAAGTGAGGTCAAATGACACTTCTTTCTAGGACCTAGGCTCATCCCATGTAGAATGTAGAAGGGCAAAGAACAGCAACTCAGCTGCAAGAACGGTATGTTCCTACTAAAAATCCAGAGAGGGAAACCCATCACTCCTTTCAATCCAAAACCTGCCATCCTGGAGTGGGCTATGATCTCAGAGATCCCTTGTTTGTGCTAGTAGTTTTGCACAGTTTTGCTTTGTGTTGTCTGACTTAGGCCTCTTCACTGGCCATTTCATGGTGGCGCCCAGGCAGCTGGGCTCGTGCAATTCCGACAAAGCCTAAGTTAAGCACATATAACAATTATACTGATAAGCTACTAGTAGCATCCTTGTTACTAGGAGCAATGCCAGGAGATACAGATACAATATATATATGTCGTTTAGGGAAGAATTGAATTGCACAGGCTACCGCTGTGCCCCCTGACAACACTCTCACGTGCAAGCCCGCAATCACGCGCACACCAACCAACTGTTACTCTTGCAGCTCATAAAATTCTCTCAGAAACTTCCCTGGTCGTTGTATGCGAGCATGTCCTGTGTAAAATAAGTGCCAGAGTACCATGAATACTGAATATTGCAACTATTTGCAACTATTCAGGTGCTTTAAACACGTCACCGCCTTCTCGCGGCCAAGGATCAGAGAGCAATATTTCACCCAGTAGCTGTCCAGACAGGAGAGTCACAGGAACCAAGGAAGCGGAAGCTTGGCTCTCAGTCAGCATCCGTCATCTTAGAATCTTTACTGGGATCAGTTTCCCGCCAAGGATATGAGGCAAAGATAGGCAAAGCCTTGATTTCAAATTTCAGTATGATGTGCATTTCAACGTCAGCACGTGCACGCAGCACTGGAGATGCAAAGGCGACATGGAATGCTTCAGAGCCCAGCTCCATCAAGCATGAAGTTTTCAGAAAACTAAACCAGCCCTCTTTGCATCTTGAGTTCTGCCTTCCTCAAGCTAAGTTTGACAAGCTCACAGTCCCAACGAAGAAACAGATTTTGAGTTGCAGACATGATCAAACTCATTCTCTTTGGCACCAAAAGTAATGTACCTCAGATCGGAACCCAGGCTCATTGTCTCAGACTCCTTCTGCCACATTTTGGCCAGCTGCGAGAACCGAACTCCGACAGCACCCATGTTGGAAGCCACCTCTCGCGCTCTCGTGTGTGGCAATCTTCTCCGACATTAGGCCGGTTAGATGTTCAGAATTATTAATCTAAATACTCTCTCTCTAACCGAATAATAACATATATAAATATAATAACTATGTACACATGAGATATGCTGATATGCATGTAAAAGTTATATAAATGCTCAGAAGGGCACTGCTGGCCTTCACCAAACCTCCAACCGTCATGAAGGATCGCAAGGCCCGGAAGAACAGCCGCATCAGGTTCTCCTGTGAAATTGATGCTGTCTGAGTTGGTACAGCCCTGCAAGGGTGCGACTGAATCAAGCCCTATCGTTTTTTTGCAGCGGAGTCACATGACGCCAGTTTACAAGAGGGTGGCCATCGAAAAAGCCACCCACAGATCCTCGTGATTCAAGAACATCTCAGAAGCACAAAGCGATCTTGGGCCCTCTAGGTACAATGGTGGGTCTCTCCTGCATGAGGAAAGTTGTAGTACACCGCTCCCAATGACCCCTGGCATTCAGCAGGACAGTACTACAAACACCACATGTCATTCAAAGACTGTTCTATCAATAAGCCTTGAAAAGACCAGACTCTGCAGCCAGCCTCGAGGCCCTTGAATTTTGGATTCATCGCGATCCGCGTGCAGTCTATCTGATGGTGGACTTCGGCAAAGTGCTCCTGCCAAAGCTTTGGATTGAGGAGTCCCCAACAAACAAGACGCATTCCCCAACCGGTCCTGAAGGGTCTTGATGGTTTCATCAATCTCCTTCGATGCTGTGCAGAAATGTGCGGGGTAGAATCTAGATGTCCGTCAAAAACTTCGGTTTCTCATCCGCTGCAAATCTGTGAAGTCATTCCAGCTTGACTTCAAGCCTTGTAACGCTCTCGAAGCACCTCTCGGGATTCAAAGGTGGTGGCAATGACGCGGCCAACATGGCCTGGCGGCGGAACTTCAGCGCCCTCAAAGGGTGCCCAAATTGACTTGAGGTGTCTGCCTAATGCTTTCCGGTGTCTCACGAGGTTCAACCTGCAAAGATAGCTGCCCCCAGTCACAGGCAAACATCTGGCAATTCACCCTGGTCACCCTTGAACAGTGATTTTTGAGCAGTCTAAATGCAATACAATGCCACCAAGCTGCGAAAAGCTCAAATTTGCATCTCCAAAAACCTTGGAAAATATCACGTTTTGGGCAGCACTGACGACTGGGTTTGACAGCTGCCACCACACGGTTTTTCCCGCACCGCAGCGGACAATGAAGTAAGATAGCGATCTGGAGGCAAGCCATGGCTCTCCAGAGCATCCACAAGCGAAAATAGATATGCATCATTCGGCCCAGAGGGGCCCTTGGCATTGGCAATAACAGCAGCCGTCGTTTCAATCACCTCAGGCCCCGTGTATGCAGCACTGTTCTCAGGCTCATGCGCAAAGTACACCACTGCCGTTCCCAAACCAGGATCTACTGCTTCTGCATTGTCTACATCCCTTTTTAAGGGTGACAGCTTTGCCAAAGTCCTGGTGTATCCATGCCTCTCACGCACGTCCAGAGCCTCAATCACACTTGGCCAGTCCGCCTCATCAACCTCATAAGCCATGCCAAATACGATATCGTCCTTAGCCACCTCTCCAACCACTTCAACCTCTCCGAGGTCCAGCTTTCCGATCGAATCGGCCCGTAGCAATGCGACAACTCGCCCAGGGTTCTCAGGAGTGCCTCGATGATCGCAGGAGCGTTGCCAAAAGCGGCGGATGAAGCCCGTCACACTGGCTGGATACATCCGTTTGTAAGGGAAGCCAGGCCGAAAAATGAGAGAGCCATAGCCAAAGATTGTTCGTACCCGAGAAAACTCCTCCGGAGCAATGTTTGGATCAATCCTTGCTGTCTGCCAGCAATCGTAATCGCCCTCAGGCTGGCTTGGCCTCGCCATCAACGGCAAAACCTGTGCGAGGTGCAGATTCTCTGGCAGGATCCAGGATAGCCCTGCAAGTACCGCGATAGGAAGTAATTTGTTCGAGCTTCTAGGCTTCATCTAGTTTTCAGGCCGAAAGACCTGCGGCTGCATTTACTTTGTCGAAAGCTCATTTTGGCTGGCACTGGCAAATATATAGAATCAGTGAATCAGTGTCGTGATTTCTAGCCGCCTTGAACCCCTAGACTGCAAAATCATACACAAAATGGGAGAAGCTACTTCTTGGCACTCGGCTGCCCATTCAGAAGTTGATTCAGCCGAGAAGCGGCGGCATCAGCTGTTGGATCTATGAGCTCTAGCCGGTGGAAGCGGCTGATGGCGGCCACACCAGGCGCATCTGCATTCGGTCAACGCTCCACTAATTAAACTAAGCGCGCGCTATCGCAACAGTCCAAAAGAAGAGAACGTGTTTTGAGGCACTTTGCCATCTATCTATAATTATCTATGTATGTACAGTACATCTATCATCCTCATCTCCTACAATCTTGTCAGAGCTTCAGATGGTATACCGTATACCCAACCTGGCATGCAACCTTCAGTGCGCCCCTCAAGTGGCAAGGCTTGCTGCGCCTTCAAACCGGCCAATCTTGGAAAGGAGAGACAAAAAGCAGTAGGAAGTAGGAAGAGTGATGCAATGTCAGAAGAACGACTGTGAAAGAGTAAGTGCAGAATTCAAAGGAATTCTCGAGTCCAACCATCAAAGCAGTTTCAGTCCACTCCTCTTGCTCTCTTGCTCCCCTCTTCTTAAATCTATGGCACTGCACCTCTTGCACAAGCTCTTCCAGCTGCTGTGTCCCGTCGTAATGGTCAATAATGTAGCGCAAATCCTGTTCCAAACGAGGATATGCGATGACGATCAACGAAGAAAGCAAGCGGTAAAGCATGTCTATGGCAAGCAAATTGATCTCAGTCAATCTCTGTCCAAATAGGTTTTGTTTAGCACACAGTTCGGTAGCACCTTGTGGCTCAAGGTGCGCAGCAAACCTTGGAACATGATACTGTTGCCAAGATGCACTTCAAGTGTGACAAAACAGAAGAGCTTGAACCAGCAGGTGGTCAAGACTGCAGCTATCTTCATCTTTGCCCAAATTCCACCTTTCGCAGAAAGTCAGGAGCCTCGGAAGTGTGGATGCAAACTGTTGGGACGTACAGGCTTATTAATCAGGCCAAGTGGCGCATCCAACGGGCCCCCTCCGAGAGTCTTCACTTTTTCGTGCCCTCACACCAGATGAAAGTGCTATCATTGTCACACATCATGCAAATTGAGCAGTCGGCACAGGGCAACATGAGTTGCAGCTTGGTCGGCTGGCAATTTCCTTAGATTGATGGCAAGCACTTCCGTGCAACTTGGCCAGGTGTCGTTTTGAATGCTGGTAGTATTGGCTGTGTTCATCATGAACACAGCCAACACCACCAGCATGAAAGGGCCAACAAAAATCATATCATTCAGGCTTGGCTCTGCCAGTTGAACATGTCAGGCGTGAAAGCGGACACGTCCAAATACTCAAGCTCATCCATCTCCAGGCCTTCCAGAACGTGCAGCATGACCTTGTCATCTTGCCTCGGAATCACTTATATAATGTGACCGGCTTGAACACAACAAGGCACAACAATATAAGAGGCATGATATAGCTGGTTAGTGCTGGTCTTGGGCAAGTCAATGAAGCTGGTGTTGATGTAGTGTTGGTTGGACGTCTATCTCATCTGCAAAGGTCCTACATGACGAACATAGCCTGATTCGTCTCAGGCCTGCACAATGACCATTTCCTCGGCAAGTCCAGCAGGTGTACTGTCAGTAGTTTGCTCTTGTCATTGTTCCTATTAGCTTCTTGTTACTAGTAGCGATGGCCTCCAACTTAACTGCGATGGCCTCCACCTAGTAGCGCCCTGTGCTACTAGTCTAAACAGAAAATTGAGATTCAAGCTGGAGAAGGTACTCGATCTTGCAGCGCTGTTGCGCTGGAAGCTTGTCTACATTCTGCCGCTTCTGGGACCCTGCCTCAGCTACTGCCCTACAGCCTACAGTTGCATAGCAGGGAACCACATGGCTGAAGCACATCTTCGTAAGCCAACCGAGCACTATGTCAAATCGGTCAAATCGTTTCACTTCTCGGTCCACTGAGTGTCAAAAGCCCAACGCCTCAGAATCCTCGCTCAGGAGCCGCTTGAGGCGGAGGGTGCCCTCTACGCTATCCCTCAAGTGCTCCTGAAGGGAATCGTCAAGCAGAACAAGGCCGGACACTGAGAATTTCCGCGCATGTGTAACGCACGCAGTTCATCCTTGAGAGCTAACCCATGCATTTTGTATTGAGTATGATGTGCAGCTGATCACGTTCTTCAGGTGTCCTTAATACTTAGGTGAGGATGTACCTGTAGGTGCTCGCACAGTCGTAGGCTCAATTCCCCAATTTCCCACAATTTCCCGGCGTCATGTCATTTCAGATCTTGTGTGATTGCTAAGCTGCAGCTGCAGCTCCTATTGTGTCACCACCCCACCGGAACAACCCATGCACATTTGGGAAGTTGGAGTAGGTCCTCCTACAGTTTGTTGCTCTGTTACTTTGGAGAGGCGGCCCTGCTAGATTGATCCCGTTGACCGGATTGCTCATCTCCAGTGGCATAGCCCCTCTCACAGTAGCCGGATCTTGGCACCCAACCTTCGACAAGCCATTGGCCATGTAAGTGCACACTTGGATTCTGTGATGACAGGGGGCAATCCACCCTGCATGGTCAGGCAATCGACCTGCTGATATGGTTGGGTACTCCTTTATGACTCCTCATGCAGTCCGTCATTCCAAGATCATTGGCGGCACCCCTGTCTATCAGATCGTTTCGAACCGTTTTCGCTAATCAGCTGGGTGAAAGAAACTAAGTTTCCCCATGCTTTCTCTGTCATCGCGCACTCACACGTGGCAGGTTAGAAAAGGCTTGGTTTCTCTCCGCGTTCCCTCACTACCGTTCACTCATTACAGGTAACTTTATAGCATGATGCTCAATGTAGGGTATCAAAGGGCAGGCCGTTCCGGTTTTCCCGTTCAGCAGTTCCCGCATTGGTCCGAAAAGTCGAAAAGTTCAGAATCTGCCTGCGCTTTTCATGGTCAACTCGGACAAAAATGTGTCGCTCATGCAAATGGAAGCTTGACTTGGAGCCAGCAACGCCAAACAATGTGTGAATATTTGGAGAAAAACTTGGCCTGCACTTCATCTATGTCATCATCATCTTCCGCCTTTTCAGTGGATTCAATGGCAACGGAGGAGGAAGAGAAAAGTACGGAGAAGAGATAGAGTCGCATCAATCAAGCGTAAATTTGCAGTGCTCACATCTGAGCTCCTCTACATAAAAAAAGGAGTGGATCGGTGATGGGTGACACTAGTTTTCTGGTGGCTAGGTTGTCTAATGCAGGGCATTCATCTGAGCCCGAGGTCAGCACAACCATTTTGGCAGTAGGCTCACACAGGATGCTGCGAGCCAAGACTAGCATCATGTCCAACAAAGCGCGTCGCTACATGTTCCTAGTCTCAGACATCAGCAGTAACAAAATACATTTGGCTTGGAGGAGTTCCAGAAATGCATTTGACCGTGGCTGTGGAGATTTGGACACCCAGCAAGTACTGCAACTTTGGAGGAGGGGGCGCACCAGAAAGCACATTTGATAGACAGAGGTGGCTCTGCCTTCCCAACCTCGCAGGTCAAGTCAGATTCCTTTTCTTTGACTCAAAGCTTTCGCCCAAGCTTTGAGGGCCTCATCAGGCTCCACCTGCTCAATGTCATCGACGGACTTTGGGTCCTGCCACTTCTGGTTTTCCAAACGAGGCTGACAGGCCGAAAGGGTCTACTTCTTGTCTCGTTTCTAAACACCCCGTCGTTGCCTGGCCAGAATCACCATAGGCACCTGAACACGCATAGCGGGAAGCCTTCGCTTGTGACCCCAGAAGGCTGTGAGGCTGAGAGCACCGCCTTCGTAAGGGCTTTGACATGACTCTGAGTAAGCCTGGCACAGTGGAAGAAAGCGCGTTGGTTATGGAAAGATTTTCGAACTCGTGGATGGATCTAAGAGAAGGTTACCTTCAGGAGAATGGCATTGTCACTAATCGTCCGTTGAAAGCCCTTTCCTCTGCTCCATCAGCGGCCAGCGCCTGCTGCACTGCCATTTGAGCTACCTGCTGTGCAACCGCCTGCTGCTGGGCAATGGCTTGCTGCTGTACAACAGCCTGCTGCTGCGCAACAGCTTGCTGCTGCGCCGCCTGTTCCCAAGCAAGGGTTAGAGCAAAGTGCATGGATGTTAGGTTCACACCCAAGCCTGATTGAACGCGGCAGCATTGTAGGCCTTGGACAAACACTCAAACTTCAACATCTGAAACCAGTGCACTGTAGTATAATAGTGCCCCTACTCCGTCTAAAAGAACCTAACGTACGGTCATATTGTGTGGCGTGCTCACAGTCATCTTGTTGGCAGTGCCAACTCTCAAGTTCTCCTTTTTCTGGCACTGTATCGAACAACTTATCGAGAAACGAGTGTCAGCTTGCAACGGTACCTCCGAGCGCTGGCTCGTGGCTTGCAATGCTTCTGGTCATTGAATGCCTAGGAGGTAACGACCTCTGCCAGGCAACGCCTTAAGATGACATGATGCGCTTCGCGCAGTAGTCTGGCTCGAAGATCCCCGACGCACGATTTACCCGGCTGACAACCAGCTAAAACTCTCTTTTTGATTTGGTGGAACTGACCGTCACATGAGAGACTAATGGAGTAATGCTTACCTGGCAAGCCAGGAATGTGATATGATGGCCAGTGGCCAGTGTCCAAGTGACACCAAAGGTCCCCGAAAGCTGCAAGCCTAAATCCGTTGGACGTCTGTAGCTTCAGCTCAGGCTTTCTTCGGCTTTGCACTTTCCATGGCAGCTGCTTTCAACTCGTCATACCTTGGAGATGTGAATCTGTTGTCAATGCCTCGACCATGTTGACCTCCAGTCTCCAGTTGCTGGTTTGCTGCTGAGCTGCTGTTGTTGCATGGTCCGCTGCAAGTGTTTCGCCAAAAGGACGTGGTCTTCCGCCTCTTTCTCTTCCGGTGGCAAGTCTGACTCACGGAGCTGCTTCAGCAGGGCCTGTGAAAGCAAGCATTGGGGTGACTGAGCAGGGAGCCGGAAAATAGTACGGCTCTTCAAGGCTCGTTGTGTCTCATTGTCCGAATCCCCTTGACCTTAACTGGCCCGCTGGTCATGCCTTCACGCCATCAGGTGCCAAAGCCTTGCAACTCATCCTGACCCGACCTGAACAAGACCCAAATCACTTGTCCGGATTCTGCAGGTGCCTCCGCTCACAAAATGTAAATCCAATTCATACACCAGTCCGACACAGTGCCCATCGCCAGTTTGCCAAGCTGCCTGGATAGCCTCCCATCTGAGCTTTGAGGGGCCAAACAGTTTGAACATTGTAGCACATCAAGGACATCAAACGACCATCAAACTCGATGACTTTCCTCGGGCTCCCAAGGGAAATCGCATCTTCAACCCCCTAAGCACTCAGCAGCAACTTGACTTTGACTGTTTGATGCCAGTTGGTGCTGCTTAGACTTCCAAGCTGCTTCATGCCACCATAGCGGAAGGGCAGCAGCTCATCAGGGCTTTTGTTGCGCTGGCCTGGTCAGGGTAAGGAATGCCATCTTAGAGCAAACCAACTCGGCCACACAATCAATGAACATGACTGAACAGTTTTTGCGACGGATTATCAACTCGATTGTTACAGTTGCCCTTTAACCTTCTGTCGGGTGGGCCTGGATCCATGATCGTATATACTAAAGAGACATAAAGGCACATTATATATAGAGGTATTGTGCCCCCCCGCAACACGACGATGGGCCTTCTGGGTAGAAGCAAAGCCAGCCACCCTCCTTCAAGAACTGGTCCACCTGATGAAAAAATCGTTGAGCAAAGTGAATGTCTCGGGGCATCTTGAATCTGAAAGCTCCTGAGGTGGGTGCTTGCTTATCAACCTGCTCGTTTCTCTCCTTGTCAACGGCAAACACGCCATTCTTGCTGCTGGTGAAGTACACCGGAAAGTGCCCAACTGCGCCTGTTAAAGGTGTGCAATGTAATGTTTTGAGTCTTTTCGGTCCCTTTTCTGTGGGCTGTGTGCAGCATGGTTACGACAAATTGTGGCCAACACAGGGAGGTTGAAGAGATGTGCATCCATATAGGTTCGGCCTCGCGCAGCGAACCACAAACCAGAGCCGAGGTGTTTGGGTCAGCGGCCCTGGGTGGCTTACATCTCCGCATAACTGGCAAAGGCAACGAGACTACTGCCAGGATCACATCCAGGAAGGAGGCATGGTTGCCTTGCAACAGGTGCAATAGGGTGCAATGCCTGGGTCGACTCTTTTCTCTCTGGATTACACTCACATGTTGGCTGTTGACAATCCCATGGCCTAGAATCATCAATGGGTGATGCGAGTCTTGTCCAGCTTGAACACGACCATCCTGCTCCTCCATCTTCTTGAGCATTAGTTTCCACCTACAAACCACTCTCGAGCAATTGACAACACCTCAAGCACCTGCATGCACAAGCCCTGGCTGCAGCTTGGATACTCATCAGCGGTCCCCTGCAAATGAGTTTCTTGGCGTCGTGGTTGGTGTGACCCCACATGACCACCCGACCGGCCGAGATTGCCAAAAGCAGGGATATCTGCCCCAAATGGGCGAGTTCGCTGGGGCCAAGCCACATCAGCATAGGTCGTTCCAATCCATGGTGCGAAGAATAGGGCAATCTTCCAACACACCTGACCAGACCAGCAGTTTTCCTGCCTGATGGCCCTGTTCGCAAAACAAGTGAATGTTGCAGCAACCGCCTGCACCAGCACCAAGCACACGGATTCGTATTTCCTGCAGACTCTAAGGCCTTTTGCTTGCAAAGTCTCACCATCATGAATTGCTAGAGTGCTGAAGTCCTCTTCTCCATTGGGAATACGCCTTGGCATCACCCTATTTTTCGTGCAGGAACATGACCCACTGCCTAACAGTGCAGCCAAAGCTCTGATCAGTTTCATAAGGCCAGCAGCCCATAGCATGTTCCTAAGGCTCAAACAAGGACGCTACTAGGGGCTCCTGGCATCGCTACTAGGAGCAAGGACGCTACTAGGGGCTAGGCTAGCATACCTGACACCGCTGAGGTACACTGCAAGGATCAGGCCATACGCCCCCATGCACAAGCGGCCAAACATTGCTCCCATGGCGGTTGAGCCGCTGAGCCGCTGGGGGTTCTTGGGCTGTCTGGAGCCGAGTCTGAGCAGAAAAACTTGTTGTGAACGATTTGTTCGAAGACTTCATTCCCGCCAGGGCAAAGGCGGCAAACTCAGATACCCTCTAGGAGCTGAACATACATCTGTTGCTGAAGCTGCTGTTGTGGCATTTGTCCATACACGCCAGGAGCCTGCGGCCTCAGCGTCAGCGCTACTCACCACGGGCAGTAACAGCTGAATGCTGCTTCTCTCCTTGTCTGATGAAGATGCATCTTCATTACTGACACTGTCCCCCAACTTAAGAGCAAAACATATGCGGATGCCAATTTCCAGGCAACCTGCACATTAGACTGGGCTCTCGGGTGGAAGCAGCGAATGCTTTGTGTAAGCGTGACAAAACCAGCTTACCTTGGGGATGCCGTGCGCGGTGATTTCACCCATGGAGGTTGGATCTGAGACGCATTCTTTGGCGGAGAAGGTCGATGGAAGCTCGGTGGCCTTAAAAGGATACAATGGCACGATTGAAGCGACAAAACAAATCAAATGAGCGTTAAGGAGATCCTGACGAATTTGCAGCTCCAGTAGCGATGCACCCTGCGAAATGCCAAAGCCTTGAACTTGGTGGCCCTGCGGAGACCGCGGTGGTAGAGGCCTGTCATTGGCAGGTTTTTCTGGAGCTTCCTGCACAGGCGCCAAGGTCCTCAGGGCTGATTCAACCTTCTTTCTCTCAAGCTTCATTCACCATCCGTACACCTGCGCAGTTCGCTGGCGTCTTTTCAGCTGAGGCAACAACTGCGCCGGTTTTTCATCTCCGGCACTACCTTGTTCACGAACAAGCACAAACAAAACCGACTTGCAAGTGCCAGGTCTGCCGCCGAGCCTATTTGCCGCAAGGAACTGGCCTGACATGACCGCAAGGAATCTTGACCCATAACCACAATCTACGTACTGCTTGGCCTCCGTGGCCGAGGCAGGCTTTTGCCTCAGCCCGGCCGGAAGATCCATGAGCGATATGGCTCAAACTTGGGGCACCTGCCCTGCTCCATCCAGTGTCACAGACATTTGTGAGTAATGGTGCTTTTCAGTCAAGGAAGCTTCATTCTAGGAGTTGCGCTGGGAGAAGTCAGGCAGCTGGATCGGCGCAGAAGTTCCAAAGGTGAACCTAAGCCCGGTAGCTTGCACTTGTTCGAAATCAGTGGCCCGGCAATGGTCACTGGAAACGTCGCATCCACAGTGTTTCGAAGGGCTTTTCCACCACTTTGGGCAGATGAACCTCAAACTATGGCTAGTCGGGCATGGTAGGATGCCCAGTGAAGTGCCAAGGCCTACATCAGCAGCACTTTCTGCTCAAGTCCTGACTCACTGGCAGGATCATCCACAAAGTCCATCTGCACGAAAACCGCACAATGGTCAGATGCCATCTCCTCAGCAGCTCATGGTGGGACATTGTACATCATGCAAACCTATCCCCATGCATGCCTCTGTTGCCATACTCCTAAGGCAAGAAGCATCGGCAGGAGTACGTCGGAGCACGTGGGCTAACTCGCACATGGGGAGGGCATCTCCATCACGGAGGCCAAAGAGATGGTCAATCCTGCATTGTTGGACCCTTTTCAAGGCACGAAGCCTCAGCTTCATTGGATCATGCAGGCACGCCTCATCCCAAACAAACCGCCGCAGCCATAGGCAGGAAAGCTGGCTTGGCAGCAGCAAGGTGCTTCTGCTGCCTGAGTTGTTCGGCAAGTGTCAGCCAGTGACCTCAGACTCTATCTGCTTTCCGGCCTGGCCTTCCACAAATCTTTCCAGCGCGAATCTGAGACAATGACCTGTTTGCGAGCAAGCTTCAGTTCTCAGCCCCAAATAGAAAAAAGTGCCCAAGAGCTCGGCACTGTACCCGGAGAACGGCATGTAGAAGGAGGAATTCAGATCGCCGGCTAGCAAGAATGTTGGCCTGGATAAACCCTACTGGTACCCAGTCGGCTTCAAACGAATATTTACGTGCCTTTCCAAGTCCTCTGGAATTGGCACATGACGAAGCTCTTCGATCCAGGCCAACAACTGGCAAATCACTCTTGATGCACTCGACGAGTGCAAAAGTGTGCCAAGGAGCACCTCTTCCGCCTGCCGACGCTGCTCTGCAGATGCCATCCTGCATTGGAGTAAACTGGGGACTTGCAGAAAGACCTGACCTGATGCACGGGCCCTTGTCTTGTAAACAATGGTCAGAAAGGCATTATTTGCCCGGCGCATGACCAAGTGTACCACATGTCCCATGCCTGAATTAAATGCATTCTGACTTCCCTCTTTACTTCCTCTTTACTTAAAATTACGCCAGCAGAGACCCCAGATAGCAAAAATACTTTTGCGGCAGCACCGGCAGCGAGGTGGCGGCACCCGCAACGGCTCCACACAGCGGCAGCACGGCACCAGCACCCAAGCTCCCAGGCGCACACAGCAGTGGCACCCTGCAGCGGTACCAGCACCCAGGCTCGAAAACGCACACGCGCAGCTCTTCCTATACTTGAAGTAAGCACGCTATCTGGGGAAAAACAGTGATGTTGCTAAACTGGGTCTTCATTGCGTTTTGTCAGCATAAAGGCCGGAGTGCCAGTTCCATTCGTGCAGACTTCAAGGCGTGCTCCTGTGCGAGAGGTGAGTGTTCACTACCCACATTGGCCTAGCATCTTCACTGGCCAAATCGACAAGCACCTGAAGGCCCAACGAATGCCACTTGGTCGAGCAAGGACAATATAGGGTGAAGAGAACTGAGGACAACGCTTAGAAAAAGAATCGGAACCATGTTTAACGAACCATCATTCCCCTAGAGGCCCCAAGTCTCAAGCAGGAAAGCACCGAGGCACTTGGGGCCTTTTCATGAACTTACCAGGCCGAGCCAAGGGGCTGCCAAAGCCCCTCGAGGCTGCTCTTGTTGATTCATGTGCAGCACCTCCTCGTCCTGGCGCATCCCAAATCGCTCACAATACCACAGGCTGCTCCAAGCGATAAATTTGGTCATTTTCTTACTCAAAGCTACTCGCCCTGTCCCCATCACAACGGTGGAACATGAGTCGCCGTCTGTCAAGAATAGGGAACCTGCAGTCAGAGTCGGACCCTTCATGAATCAATCAAGAAACGATGCTTCAAGCAAGCATGCATCTGCAACGCAAATGTAGGGTGTCTGACCCCTCTCACCTTGTCAATGTCGCCAGCCCGTATGAGGCTTCATCAGATGCAACCAGTACTTCACCACCCGTGCAGGTGGCCTATCCAAAAAGGAGCAAGCTCAAGCTAGGTTCTGACAGAAAACATGAAAGCAAATCAAACACGAGGAAAGCGCACCTGCAGAAAGGCTGCTTTCAGAGTTGGGGTAAACTCATAGTTCGCCAAGCCACAGGCATCGGCGATCACCTGCGCCTGGTCATCGGCATGCCTTGGCCCAGGCTGTCTGAGACTCATCTTGAAATCCGCCCAGCGCACTAAATACCGCACTAGTATGCTTGTAAACGTGCTGGTCAAACTTCAACGTGAAGTCGAGGCACGTTACCGACCATCTCCGCGCACGTTTGAGTTTCTTGTTAACCTCCACCTGCGGACGGCGAAAGAAATATGTAAATATGTACATACATATAATATAGAGAGATACATACAATATAGAGAGAAAGAGACATATATAATATTATCCCCAAATTATAGGCTCTGCCTGTGCAATTTCGATGCCTGAAAATCCTGAAAACTATCTATGAGAAAGTATCCCAATCTGGCATCTCCACACCTCTAAAACAAAGGATTGAACAAGTTTCCGCAAGCAGTGTCACTGGTCGGCAATCATATCTCAAGCAAATCCCACTGACGAAGCATACTGCAGTGGCCTCTTGGAGGCACGCGATCTCTGCTTTGGATCTTCTAATGACGCCAGCAACCCGCTCCAAATCATACGCGCCGTCAGTGCCAACGCCAGAGTGAATGTTGTATGTTAAGATGCCCACCATCGAGAAGGGTGGACACTCAGACCAAGCAAAAGCAAATGGTTTGGGAGTTGGGGCACGACTGTCCCCAGAGTTTGTCAAATTGAGGCAAATGTTGTTTCCAATCTTGGGAAACTGCTGTTGAACAGCTAGCGGCTAGTTGGCCCTCTACTTGACAGAATGCCTCTGGGACTCTTACAACTCTCATTATGACTCGGCTGAAGCCTTCGGCACCATCAAGAAGAGCCAATACAACAGCTGACAAGTCCGGTTTCATGCTAAACCATGTCCAAGCAGCGGACAAGTCCAGTGTCTAGACCAGAGCTTTCGGAGTTCTGAGGTGTCGACTCGCACCCATCATCATCGTCCTCCAAATCGTCACATGCTGATGCATGTTCGACCATACTCTACCATGTCTTCGTTTCCCGAAAGCTTGACCTATCACCTGCCACATCTTTCACATTGTGCTTGCATACATGCTAGCTGCTAGCTCTCAACTGGCCTCCTCCCCCTTGTTTCTTCTGGCCTCAGCAAGAATCTTGGATTAGAATCACAGCTTTTCCATTGCTTTTTGGAGCCTAAATCTATATGAATCGATAATCAATATGTACTCCTTGTTCGCCTTTGATTTCCAGGCGCGCGGCGCTCAACTTGGGAGATGGGCCTGAGTCTGCGGCTCCACTTGGCTGAAACACAAGGTCTGAGATAGTTGGAGCTATTCTCAAATCCTTCGGAGTTGTCACGTAACTAAACCCTTGGGCAGCTGCAGCTCCCACCTTTCGGTGACCTGCCGCGCAATTTTTGGAAGTCAAAGCATCTGATCACAGTTGCCTGCATCTGAACACTTCAATTGGTGAGTTCACCACCTTTAGTCTCAAAACACTCTGCAGCCTCTTGTGTGTGTGAGGGACTGTTTGAACTATGCCATGCTGTACAGAACCCCGGAACCCCTCAGCAGGGTCAAAATCATTGACCCATATGAGCTTCAGAAGCACTTGAAGATCCTCCAACTGAAGAGCAAGGAAGCAGATTAACGAAAGAAACAGTGCCCAAACAGCGCTAATCAACCCTTTGTATACTGTGTTGCTGAACCACATCTACCGGCGCAGCATCTGTGCACAACTTTTTGCCATGATTCACAGCATCGAGTTTCGCCTGTGACCTCGTCGTTGGCGTGATGTGCCTTAACCTCACCGGCCTGACTGTGGCACCTGGTAAGATGCCCATGGAAAAGGCAAGCGCCCTCCACGATCAAAAAGTTCTTGAGACATCATTTGGCTGTTGGTGGGGTGCAAGTTTCTCCGACTCCTGCGCCTTAGACGCAGCCCTGTGTGGAGGACACCTCTGATGTGCGACGAGCACACCCAACTGAAAAGCAGCATTTTTGTGCTGCCTGCGCATATGCCACAAGTGCTGGGACATCAAGCCACCCTACAACATGTTCCTCATGCTTGACTTACAGGCACTAATGTGGCTTAAAAGTTCGCCAGTGCGAATTACGCAGCAGGAAGCTTGTTACGTTGCTCAATCATCTTCTTTTCCTGCTCAGGCTCCACTGTCAACGCTTGCGGTCTCCTTGCAAAAGCCAGAGCCGGAAAATAAACATCGGGCCACGCTTGTGATTGTACAGTGGAACAGGATGAAGCAGGACAGGAAGAGAAGCAGCATGCCCATAAAAAGCCAAGCATCTGAATGGGTGTGTTGCCTGGTCGAAGGTCCTCAGGCACCTGCACCGCGTGATGCAATGCCACTCAGCATGATGACCATTTAATTACAGTATATATTTGTTTCCATCTCATGAGCGTCCCAGCTCGCATTTGTAAAAGGACGTCTTGAATGGACATGTTCGGTTGTGGCGACTTGCCTGGGACCAGTCCAGGCGCGGTCCTTCTGGCCAATTGCCGTAAGGATTCACCCCGGCCACCTGGGTGACCTGAGCAGGCACAAGTTCCTTCAGTGTCATGGCCAATGGCTTCAGTCCGCCCAGAAAGGCTGAGGACTAAACCCAAAAAATGGTGAGAATTGCAGAGAAGATGTATGTACCGATCCTTGGAAGATGGAAACGACCTCAAGAAGGTCCATCCATCACAAGCAACCTCCAAATGAAACAGCTTGCAAAATAAACAAGCAAAAAGACTGCTCACTCTTCTCTGAGTATCTTCAGCGGACTGCCAACCAAACTCATGTCCTGCTGACTTCATCAAGGCTTCCCAGTGCTACATGGACAGTGGCATGGTTAAGCACTCTTGGCATTTTTAGCCCAAAAGTGTTCTACCTGCCTCCTCTGGATCGGGATTCCATTCTCCCCGTTCAGGAGAGTCGTCGCGGTCATCCATGACCCAGATGTCCTCTGCCGCTGTGCAAACAAAACAAAAACCAACACAAGGATGTGAAGTCAGAGCTTAGTCAGAGCATCTGAAGTTTTGGCTGTGCAAAGGCGCCGGCCGAGAGGTCCATTGCTTCGAGAAATTGCCCTTCTTCTCAGCAACATGGGGCAGAATATGGGAGGTGATCGGCACTGGATGCTGCCATGCTGCCAAGTTTTTCTGCAGTCTGCATATAGAGGACAACATTCCGAACAATATAAAATATAAAAGTATGGGAGCAGAATAAGGCTGAAGCTGTCGACCATCTCGCCATTTGCCCTCAACTCTTGGGCTTCCGGAGGAATGCCAGTCACCTGCAAAGAGCCAGCCTTTCAAACCCGGATGTTTCAACACAAAATTGGCCCAAAACGCCGCAAAGAAATGCACGTTCCCGTCCCACCTTCTCAATGACAGTTCTAAGGTCTCGGACTCGATCTCCGCGGTTGAACTGGATCTCGAAAGAGAGCTGCCCAGGCTGGTTCACCCAAAACTTGCCTGAAGGGTGCAGTGCAAGTGTTGGAAAGTGTTTGGCCGTTGAGACTCTAACTCTCAACCATTCCGATGTCTTGTGCAAAACTGATCACATGCCATCCCTTCATTATGGCTAGGCTTGATGAGCTGAGCCACCCAAGTCTTCACCAACCGGAGCGTCCTAGTTTCAATGAAAGGCGAGGACATCTTGTTCCAACATTGGCAATTGGCATCACTTCCCGTCCTGCTCTGCAGCCTTCTGGATAGCGTCCAGTGTTTCTTCTTTTTTCTTTCGCATCATTTCGGTACTGAGCGCAGCTCATGACATCACTAGCACGCTGCACTCACCCTTGTCCATAACGCACATTCTTCAAAAGAACAAGAATAGCCGTACAATGCCCCCCTCATTTTCAAGGCTCTACTCATCTTCTGCTGTCACCACAGCGGCACCACCTTCAGCAGCACGAGCCACCCGGCCGCGACCTCCTAGACTCAAAGTAAGCGCAAAAAGGGGCTAACAAGTCATTCTCCTTTAAGTGCTTGAGTTTATGCCCAGTATATTCAATGTGCGCTAAGACTAGCTCACCTTCCGATTTTTGCTCACTGTTGAAAAGAAGTATCTCTTTGCATGCGTGCACACGCTGGGTTTTGCGCTCAAGTTTAGATGTCGCATGGACATCATTTTTGACCCAGCTTGGCTCAAGCTGGACATCAGTTTATGCTTCACTTATGGGGCTCAGCTTGGCCTTGGTCCCGTTTGTCACCCACTTGCTGTCAAGGCTGCATGGGCGTCGGGAGCGTATGCAATGCAAACAAGGTATGTTAGGGCCAATCCATCCTGCACTGGTGAAGGCTACTGGCCGCAACAGAATCAGCGCAGAGGCGCCCAGAACAATCCTCAACCACATCCACATCTTCTTTTTCCACTGTGCATTCATAATGATTCAAGGTCAATACTAAATGAACATCTGTCATGCTACCCAAAGGCAGTCTGAGACAGGAGGTCTGTCGGGGCATGTCTGCAGCGCCTCGGCCTGGTAGAGATCCAACAACACGCTACAGCTGCTACAGCTTTGTGCTTCAATCTTTGCAAACAGGAGTGTGTATATATATATATACATATTACATACATTGCATCTGAGGCATGGTCTTGGCGTGACCGCACACAGGGATGGTACTACTAGTCTTTGAGCCAATTCCGCGCAAATGGAAACGACCAGTGTTCTCGCCAAGTGCCAACACATGTTTAAGCTGCTGCAACATGTGACAAAAAGACTTTGAATAAATTTGTGCTAGGTCTAGTGACTGCGATGCAACACACATGGCATATGCAGCCCACTGCTTCGAATAGTTTCCTTGCTGCTACTGTCTTGTACTCCCTCCTGCCCGCCTGCCATTTCTTATTCAATGCACCAGACAAATCTTTTATGATCTCTTGCTTTAGAACTATATAATCTGTTGGAAACGGACCAGCACCACGTACTATTGCCTTGACTGATCATAGATTCGACTCACTGCCACACCCAGAGTTCCATACTGAAAATAACATGGAAAGCAAACAAGGTTTAGTTGCAGACCTGCCTGTCACCACGTCGCTCAGCAAGGGGCATCTTCTTAACCTCTGGGCAGGACGAAACTACGGAATGATATATGTAAATATGTATAACTAGATGTTTTTAACTACACTCACTTGTGCAACTCATAAATTGTGGGCTGCACGAATCTGAAAGCTCTTTGATGCATCGCTCTACATCTTGTCAATCCTGAAAGCACCGTGCACGGCTGCGCTTTCGCACTTGCTGCAAGAAGCAGCCTGAACAACACCGAGGTCTTGTGCCTTGCACTGATTCGAAAAGAGCAGATCTGCCAACCATTTCTTGTCGTCAGTCGTCAGCTCTAGCTTGCTCTTTCACGGGCCAGAGCTCGAACTGAACTTCAAACAAGCTCGTCTAGGTCTTCCTCCTCTTCAAGTCAGCTTCCTCCTTGGAACACTGGTAGTTCTCAGCATCAAGCGTGTCATAACCTGAGCACAGCTTGCAACAATCACTGCCACTATATACCATCTCAAAGTATGAACATGCGGTTTCTTCAAGCTAACGCCAATCAAGCTGCAGCGCCGTCGCAAATGCACCGCCAACTGGCTGGCCAACTCAGAAGAGGAAGCAACCATGACACGCCCTGAAAGTGGTGCTGATCATGCATAACTGACATAGAGCTGCATGGAAACATAATTCTGCCGAGTTCGCTGAGTGCTGCTGAAACAGAATTTGGAGCGACCATGAATTGGTGGTTTGCCGAGGCACGGGAAGAAAGATCGAACTTGCCACCCATTGTGTCCAGACACACACCTCCAGCCTCTTCCACAATAATTTGCCCTGCACAAACATCCCAAGGATAAATACCAACCTGATCGGGAAAGCAGGAAATGTCTAAATTCTAAATGGCTTAAGAAAGCATGTAAATGGCAAACTTTGCCATCACACGAGTCTTGGCTTAATGCGAGTCTGAGGCCGTCTTTGCGAAGAGACCTGTCCAAAACTCTGCACCAGCCTCGAAGTATGCGTCCAACCGCCCACGCGCCACGTGCATCATGTCCACACCCGCAGAACCACCACTGCGTATTGCTCGGACGGGATGAGCAAGCAAGTCATGGTTAACACCTGAAGGTTTGTTCCAGGTGGGAGGTTCCGGCATGATACTCATATGGTGCAAGTTGCTAGCACTAAGGATGTGCAAAATCTGCTGCAAAGGAGCCCAAAATTCTCTCTAGGACTTTTGGCCCTCGAGAATAAGAAGGAAAATGAAGATTGACCATGGCTTTGGTCAGGTCCTCCCGGCATCACAAAGAACTCAAAGCTGGTCACAAGTCCGATCCGCAGCTTGCATAGGGTAGCAAGTCGTCTGCAAGCAAATAAGGAAATGGCATACAATGGCCCAGTTGAGGTCATGCTCACACGTGCTAAAACTTGACTTTGCACATCAATTCCCAGTCCTTGCAGCCACTTGAGGCAATCCTTCGTCCGTTGCAAAAGGCTCCATGCCCCTTGATCGCTGTGTAAAGCCTTGGACGCGACGGCGCAAAGACCTGGAAACCCCTGAAACCACAGACGGCTGGATTATTGCCAGAAAGCTCATCCATCTTCGGGATGAAGCAAACACCCAGCACTGCACGCTTCCGCACAGCCAGGCCGATGAGAACGCAGCATTCAGCCTAGCAAGTTGGCAAGTGACAACATGGTGCCATGTCCTTTGCTGCTTCTTGGTTCTCTCTTGGCACCTGTCGATGGATGAAGTTTGTGGTGCCATCAATGGGATCGACGACCCATGTTGGGGCATCTGTTAGCTCCTTGCAGGCACACTTCCATGTCTTCAGTCGGTTTCAAAACACAGCGTGACTACCTTTCGCAGCTCCGGAATGAGCTGAGCTGAGAACTACGACGACTGGTCAACTTATTGACTCACTGCAGCTCATTGCATTTTTGGTTCACTTGCTCAAGGTTGGCCAATTTGGGTGAAAAGAAGTGGCTGAATTCTCTGCCAGCAGTTGCAGGGACCTTTGGCACTGTGGTGCTTTGCTGGTTCGGGTCGCCATTCGTGACGACATCGTTTTCTTGCTGCAAGCTGCACTCCCTTGATCAGAAGCGCTCGAGCACCCTGCTCTGCATCTTTGATTGAGACACCTTGCCAACAAGTTTTTGGGAACAAGGTCCTGCTGCTGCTGCTGCTGCCGCCGCAGCCAAACAGTCTCACATTTACACTACTCGTGCATAGTTGGGCTGCATTCGGTGTGAGGGAGAACCTGTGGGCCAAATGATATGATGCTAGCTCACCGACTCGACAGGATGTGGTCAGGGCAATGCCAGAGCTTGCTCAGCTTCAGGAGGAGCAATGTTCTATGGGACTCTCTCGGGAGTGGGCACGTCATTGAGCAACATCCATGTGCTTGGGCCTCATTGACGTCATGTTGGATGCTGCACATGGAGTGGGACCTGACACTGCACATAGTTTCTCTGCGGTACCATATCCTGAGGTGTGATGTTGATGTTCAAGGCTCTGGGTTTTGGCAGCTGCATGAATTCATTTTTTTTGAGGCATTCTGTGCTTGCTCTGAGTATATGCCGGACGCGACCACCATGGCCTCCAATCACTAAAATGCCAAATGCAAAAACTCACGTGTTCGCTTGCTTTCCCTGGAGTTTCCCAAGAGGCAAGTAGGGATGAGCCTGACTCAAATGCATTGGGCAACTTTGAAAGAACCCCATCAAGGTGCACAGCAGGGAGCTCCTCTTTGCTCGCCGTCTCCTCTGCAACCACTCCGAAATCGGGTGCACAGGCCCTGTAGCGACAGTCGGCTTGCTGATTTGCAAATCAAAAATATTTGAGTCACTTGCACCCGGCCTTAAGCGAGTAAGAACTAATTCTTCCACTTGGCGATCATACTTGGTCACCAAATCTGCATTTGAGGCCTTTTCCTTGGCCGTCACTGCTTCCAAGTGCGCTCGTATAAAATGGAAGTTGCCCCAAAAGCAAGGGGAAAACAATCACATCACCCCAAAAAAACAAGATGGAGCCCACGAACCTGAATGCAAGCACATATGTCAATCCACTGTGTATAGAAAGAGACACAGCCGGTTAGAGTCTCTTTTTCACGTTCCGGCACGCTGTTGGACATCATGCGCTGGGGACTCCACCACCAAGGCAGCATGTGCTGGGGACTTCACCACCAAGCTCCGTCTTCGTCATGAAGGGTCTTCGTTTTGCATTCAAATCAAGCACTGGCGTAAAGGTTCTGGCAGATCCACAGCACGAAAGAAACAATGGCATTGTCCCAAAATCTCGAAAATAAGCCCTTGAAAATGATAACCGTCCACATAATACAGAGAAATCCACAACTGGGACACTCTTGTGGGACACTCTAGTAGGACACTCTTGCGGGACACTCATACGGGACACTCTTGTCGCACACTCTTGTAGGCTGCCATTGCGGTCACTCTTATGGGAAACTCTTGTCGGACACTCTGTGAGGCACTCTTGTAGGACACTCTTGTGGGACACTCTTGTGAGACACTCTTACAGGACACTCTTGTAGGAAACTCTTGTAGGACACTCTTGTGGGACACTC